CTCCCCCACCTCCTCACTGTCCGACTCTGATGCCAGCTCCGCATGTAAGAAGGGTGGGATGCAAACAAAATAAAATTGGTTAATCGGACCAGGTGCAGGCCCACTCCTGATTTATTTATTTATTTATTTATTTATTGCAACCCCAGACTAGCGTGGTTTGTCTCCCACGGTGGCGTAAAGTGTTGTGGGTTTTTTTTTCCCCCTTCCGTTTCAGTTTGACAATTTCAAGCGTGTTTTCAAAGCCGTGGAGGAACTGCGTGGGTCGTTAGTGGAAAACATTCAACAGCATTTCTTGCTTTCCGATCGGTTAGCCAGGTACGAAAATAAGCACGGGTGATGTAATTGTGCTCAAGGTAGAGTTATTAGGACTCTTACTTTGGCGGGGGGGGTTGGACTAGAACAATGATGGCTAACCTTTTTGCCATCGCGTGTCAAAAGCGGGAGGGGGAGCGGGCGGGGGGGGACACACGCACGCGTGCCCACATCCATAATTCTATGCGCCCTGCCCCACCCCTCATGCTCCCCCTGCTTTTGATACGTGATGGCACCGTGGGCCCAGTAGGGTTCCAGAGCTCCAGAGCTCCAGAGCTCCCAGAGCCTTTCTAGGAGCCTGGGGAGGGCAAAAACAGCCTTCCCCACCCTTCCTAGAGGCCCTCCGGAGGCTAGAAACAGCCTGTTTCCTGACATCCGGTGGGCCCAGAAGGCCTGAAAATCAACCAGCCGGCGCACGCATGCTTGCCGGAGCTGAGCTCGCGTGCCCACCGATATGGCGCCACGTGCCACCTGTGGCACCCGTGCCATAGGTTCGCCATCACGGGACTAGAAGATCTCCAAGATCCCTTCCAGCCCTGCGATTCTATGAATCCCAGATTCTGGGCATCCAGTCCACCAGAAAATCTTTGCTTCTCGCTCATTCTCCCTTCCTCCCTCCAGGGGTGAAATGCTACCGGTTCGCATTGGTTCGGAGAACTGGTAGCGGCGGCAGCGCGAGGCTCCGCCCCAACCCCGCCTGGACGTCGTTACTTCCTGGTTTTAACCAGGAAGTAACCTGTTTTTTATCCTCTGGAATAGGGAAATCTTTTTTTTTTTTGCATCTAAATTGCAGCTTGGAGAAGGAAGCCATTTTGTCTCTTAAGCAGAAATACAGCTTTTTGCGCGCAATGGACCTGCAGCAAAACACAAGACTTTGGGCCGATAGGTCAAGGCTCTTTCCCTTTATCCTTGCTGACCAGCTGTCTTATTTATTTATTTATTTATTTATTTATTTATTTATTTATTTATTTATTTATTTATTTATTTTCTATACCGCCTTTCTCCCGTAGGACTCAAGGCGGTGTACAGTCAAGAAAGAATATAGATACACAAACATCATAAAATTGCTAATTAAAATTATTATTATAACATAGTTTGGCCCAATTAAATAGGACCCAAAATTAGATAACATTTTAAAATCATTCACATGTCCATATGTTTAGCCCCGCCTGTTGGAACATCAGGGTCTTGAGGGCACGGCAGAAAGCACGGAGATCAGGGATATTTCGTATCTCAGGGGGCAGTTCATTCCAAAGGGTTGGAGCCCTCACAGAGAAGGCCCTCCCCCTGGGAGTCCTAATGGTTAATCTGGCCTGATTTAAACCCCCAAACTCTTCTCCACCCCCCACCCCCAGGGACTACGCCGCCATCGTATTCTTCGCCAACAGCCGCTTTGAGACCGGGAAGAAGAAATTGCAATATTTGAGCTTCGAGGATTTTGCCTACTGCGCTGAGCAAATGATCGAGAATTGGACGCTGGGGGCGATGGGTAAGAGGGCAGATCCTTCAGGGTATGGGGTGAAGGGATCCTGGAGGAGACCAGGCCCTTCTCCAGTGGGAATTCAGGTTCTGTTGCACCCGTAGCGATGGATTGCTGTAATCTTAAGAGCAGCACTGACCCCATTCTCAATCTCTCTCTTTAATTTTAGGGAGTTTTTTCATAACTTGTGTCAGCTTTACCAGACAGGAAATACGGCCAGATAAACTACCGTATTTTTTGGACTATAAGACGCACCTACATTTAGAAGAGGAAAACAACAACAACAAAAGTTTTTGACCTCGGTGCGTCCCTTTTTTGGCCCTTTTCCAGCCTTTTTTTTTTTTTTTGCTCGTTTTCAGGGCTTTTTGGGCCCTTTTTGAGAATTTTTTGGCCTGTTTTTTCTGAAAAAACAGGCCGAAAAAAGCCTTGAAAACAGATCGAAAAAAGCCTCGAAAGCGGGTTAAAAAAAGCCTCGAAAATGGATTTTAAAAGCCTCGAAAGTGGGCTGAAAAAAGCCTCAAAAACAGGCCAAAAAAAGCCTTGAAAACAGATCAAAAAAAGCCTTGAAAGCGGGTTAAAAAAAGCCTCGAAAATGGATTTAAAAAGCCTCAAAAGCGGGCTGAAAAAAGCCTCAGAAACGGGCCAAAGAAGCCCCGGAAATGGGCCAAAGAAAGCCTCAAAAACAGGCCGAAGAAAGCATCGAAAACGGGCCAAAAAAAGCCTCGAAAATGGGCTGAAAAAAGGTCTGAAAACAGGCCAGAAAAAAGGCCCAAAAGGCAAAAAAACAGCTGCTGGCGGGTGGACGAGGCTTCAGCAATATTTGGTCTATAAGACACAGAGACATTTTCACCACCTTTTTGGAGACAAAAAAGTGTGTCCTATCGTCCAAAAAATATGGTAATTCTGCTTTATTGTATAGCTCCATTAACAGAATCGTGCAAATCTGAAAATACGATTCTTTCCCCCTCGCCCCAATAACAATTGGAGAAACTAGGGAGGGTCCCTGCTCAGCATTTGCCCTACCTGTAATCAGGGGTGGGATTCAAACATTTTAGCAACCAGTTCTCTGCCCAGTTGCCGGGTGGGCGTGGCCATGGTGGGCGTGGCCTACTCAGCCTCCTGCAACACAGCAGGGGAGGGGCGTTTTTTCCTTCCCCAGGCTCCGGAGGCTTTCTTCGAGCCTCCAGGACAGTGAAAATGGCCTCCCCGGGCTCCGGAGGCCCTCCAGAGGCCGGAAACAGGCTGGTTTCCCAAACTTCCGGGAGGCCCGATTTTCGCCCTCTCAGACCCTGCACTTACCTGGCATCCAAAACAGGCCACGTGGAGACTCCTGAGAGGGGTGGGGTGGGCGTGGCCAGCCAGTCCTTGCAACTACCGGTTCGGCGAACCGGATGTAAAAGTAGCAACCGGTTCTCCTGAACCGGCTGAATCTCACCTCTGCCTGTAATGCAGCTGAAGGCTGAGTAGTCTTTTATCTGACCATTCCACGCTCTTGTCTCCCAAGGTCTTCCCCACTTACACATCCCTGCCCACACTCTGAACTCTTTCCATAGATCTAGATTCTCTCCCCCCCTCCCCTCCTTTACCGCCTGAGAAACTAGGGAGGATCCCTTCTGAGCCTCCTGAACATCCGTCATCACTTACGTTTACCGCCTCGGGTTCCTTCTAAAGGCAGAAAAACAAACAAACGGACCGATAATTGACTCACTTTTTAATCTGTCCTGGCAGATACCAACGTGGACGATATGGACGTCGATTTGGATAAAGAATTTTTACAGGGCCTGAAAGAGTTAAAAGTTCTGATTGCCGACAAAGATCTGTTAGATCTGCACAAGAGGTATATATATGGGGAGGGGTCCTGGGAAGGGGGCTTGGCAGGATATCCAAAGCTTTGGCGCAAGGCAAATGATAGAGCTTTGCACTTTTCCCGTAAGGCAGGCGAATAAGTTGTTAGGAGCTGGCCGGAGGCGCTACGAATTAAATATCATTTTACAACGTTTCATTCACTCCCAAGACTTTTGAGCGGTTCACCTCAGCCATAGAGGGAGGTAACAAAGCTCCTTAGCAAGCTGAGGGCAGTCTCATTCCTCGGAGAATGCTGAGGACTAGCGACTTGTCCCTCAATTTGGAGAGACAAAGAGCAGAACGCTGGGTCGAACTCCTTGACTTAATGACGGTCCTTTTAGCAACCATTCAGAGTTAAGGGACGCGGTGGCTCAGGGGCTAAGACGCTGAGCTTGTCGATCAGAAAGGTCGGCAGTTCAGCGGTTCGAATCCCGAGTGCCGCGTAACGGGGTGAGCTCCCGTGACTTTTCCCAGCTTCTGCCAACCTAGCAGTTCGAAAGCAGGTAAAAAAATGCAAGTAGAAAAATAGGGACCCCCTTTGATGGGAAGGGAACAGCGATCCGTGCGCCTTTGGCGTTGAGTCATGCCGGCCACATGACCACAGAGACGTCTTCAGACAGCGCTGGCTCTTCGGCTTTGAAATGGCTCCCCTAGAGCTGGGAACGACTAGCACATATGTGCAAGGGGAACCTTTACCTCAGAGTTATGACCTGCCTGATACTTACAACTTGGATCTGACATTCCACCCAATTACTCTTTGAATGCCGAGCAACAGAGTCCGTCTTGACGGACATTTGCTCTGTCCTGCATTCGCGCCACAGATTTTGCCAAATAATCCGATTTTTCGGCAAAACCACGCCGTGGGGAACAATGGCTTTCCTCAACGACCGCCACACAAATACATTGTAAAATCATTGCCAATCCCGTTTTACGGCTGTTTCGAACTTACAACTGAAGCGGGCAGCTCCGTTACAAGTCGTAACTTGAGGTTCCCCTGTATTTTAACCTTTGCTGGGGCAAAATTGCCACCTTGGAGGGTTACACGTTTCGGGAGGAAGCTTGCGACGTTTTAAAATACTTTTTAAAATGTTTTTAAATAATTAACCAGTGGAACTGCTTGCCACCAGAAATTGTGGGTACTCCATCACTGGAGGGTTTTTAAGAAGAGACTGGACAGCCATTTGTCTGGAACTATACAGTGAGCAGGGGGGTGGACTAGAAGACCTCCAAGGTCCCTTCCAACCTTGAAATAAGCAGTTGGGTAGGGGGTTTAAAATTTCTCTAAAATTTCCTGCTTTTTTCCTTTTTATACTTCACTCTACAGCCTGGTGTGCACAGCGCTGCGGGGCAAAATCTCGGTCTTCAGTGAGATGGAAGCCAATTTTAAGGTGGGTGCTGCTGGGACTCAGGCCCAGAGTTTGAATCCTGACACACCCCACAACCTCCTTGTTAGGTGGTAATAGAGAAAAAAACCCGGACAGTATCAGAGGTTTTCTCCAAGAATCATATAAATCGGGAAATGCTTGTGAGCTGTTATTTATTGGCTGGCCACACGGGGGAGCCATTGCGCTTTGGAGGGGGGAAAAATGTGGATTTTGTAGAAAAGAACTTTTTAAAAAATGCTTAAAAGGGTTTTCTGATGCAGTGTGTCAAGATGAGTGGACTTCAACTCCCAGAATTCCCCAGCCAGCTTCCTTTAAGATGAGCGGACTTCAACTCCCAGAATTCCCTAGCCAACATGGCTGGCTGGGGAATTCTGGGTGTTGAAGTCCACAGATCTTTTAAATTGTTAAGGTTTGGGAACACTGTCCTAGTGATTCCCTTGTTTACATTATATTTTATTTTATTTTTATATATTTTTAAAATTTTACTTTATACGTTATTTTATGTTTATTTTACTTCACGTTGCGTAATTTTGTTTCATTGTTTTAATCAAATTTATATAGCCTCCCCATCTCTCTCTCTCTCTTTCAGAATCTCAGTCGGGCTTTGATTAACATCGCCTCGAAGCTTACCCACAGCAAAGACGTCCGGGATTTTTTCATTGATCTAGTGGAAAAGGTAGCGCGAGTCACTGCCAAGCCCTGGAAATGTGGGTTTTCAGCTGCCTAACTAACATTTATACTTTTTAGAACTCCCAACTCTCAGAATTCCCCAGCTAGCCTGCTTTAAAATGGTGGATAGAATTCTCTAGCCAGCATGTTTTAAAATGAGAGACTTCCACTCCCAGAATTCCTCAGCCTGCATGCTTTAAGATGGGTGGACTTCAATTCCCAGAATTCCCCAGCCAGCATGCTTTAAGATGAGTGGACTTCAACTCCCAGAATTCCCCAGCCAGCATCTTTTAAGATGGGTGGACTTCAACTCCCAGAATTCCCCAGCCAGCATGCTTCAAGATAGATGGGCTTCAATTCCCAGAATTCCCCTGCCACGTTCTTTAAGATGGGTGGACTTCAACTCCCAGAATTCCCCAGCCAGCATCTTTTAAGATGGGTGGACTTCAACTCCCAGAATTCCCCAGCCAGCATGCTTTAAGATGGGTGGACTTCAACTCCCAGAATTCCCAGACAGCATCTTTTAAGATGGGTGGACTTCAACTCCCAGAATTCCCCAGCCAGCATGCTTTAAGATGGGTGGACTTCAACTCCCAGAATTCCCCAGCCAGCATCTTTTAAGATGGGTGGACTTCAACTCCCAGAATTCCCCAGCCAGCATCTTTTAAGATGGGTGGACTTCAACTCCCAGAATTCCCCAGCCAGCATCTTTTAAGATGGGTGGACTTCAACTCCCAGAATTCCCCAGCCAGCATCTTTAAGATGGGTGGACTTCAACTCCCAGAATTCCCCAGCCAGCATCTTTTAAGATGGGTGGACTTCAACTCCCAGAATTCCCCAGCCAGCATCCTTAAGATGGGTGGACTTCAACTCCCAGAATTCCCCAGCCAGCATGCTTTAAGATGGGTGGACTTCAACTCCCAGAATTCCCCAGCCAGCATGCTTTAAGATGGGTGGGCTTCAACTCCCAGAATTCCCCAGCCTGCATGCTTTAAGATGGGTAGACATCAACTCCCAGAATTCCCCAGCCTGCATGCTTTAAGATGGGTGAACTTCAACTCCCAGAATTCCCCAGCCTGCATGCTTTAAGATGGATGGACTTCAACTCCCAGAATTCCCCAGCCAGCATGCTTTAAGATGGGTGGGCTTCCACTCCCAGAATCCCCCAGCCTGCATGCTTTAAGATGGGTAGACATCAACTCCCAGAATTCCCCAGCCAGCATGCTTTAAGATGGATGGACTTCAATTCCCAGAATTCCCCAGCCAGCATCCTTTAAGATGGGTGGACTTCCACTCCCAGAAATATTAAATATTAATATTAAAAGCAAGCGAACACGGTTAACCCAACCGAAGGCCCCTTCAGGCCCTGCATCGAATCCACTCAGATTTATTTGAGGCGCCTCTGATTTCATGGGATCCGGGATCCAAATCTCCTCCTCCTTCTGGGAACACAGCCTCGGTCCCTTTTCCAAACCTCACCGGGGGATCCGAGCCCAATCTCGCTCCCTTTCCAAAGCTCGTAAATTATCACTTTTCCTACCAGGAAAAGCTTGATTTTTATTCTTTTTTCTCTCTCTTTTTTTCCCCCGAAACCTCCCGAAGTTTGTAGAACCGTTTCGGTCCGACAAATGGAGCTCCAACGACGTGCAGCTTTTCCTGACCCACTACACGGCCAGCGCACACTCGCTGGAAGTGTTCAGGTGTGTATAAAGCGCCTTTCTCACACTCCTTTGTTGGCAGTACGGGTAGTCCTCGACTTACGACCTCCGCCGAGCCCGAACTTTCCGTTGCTGAGCGAGGCCTTGGCTGAAGTGAGTTTTTGCCCCGTTTTTTATGACCTTGGGAGCGAATTCCTGTCGTCGTTAAACGGGTGACACAGTTGTTAAGCGAATCTGGCTTTCCCCAGAAAGGTCGCAGAAGGGGATCACGGGACATTGCAACCGTCGTAAGTGTGAGTCAGCTGTCAAGCATCCAAACGTAAATCATGTTGACTGTGGGGGAATGGTACAACGGTCGTTAAGTGTGAAAATCGGCCATAGGTCACTCTTTTCAGTGCCGTTTTAACTTTGAGCGGTCACTAAATGGACCGTCGTAAGTCGAGGACTACCTCTATTGGCAGAGCCTCTCGTGTCACAGGAAGTCCTCGCCTTACGGCTGGTCATTCAGCAGCCGTTCAAAGTTACGATTCGCCCGAAAAAGGGGACTTACGACCCAGTTTCAAAGTTGTGATGGTCGGGGCCCCCTCCGCAGTCACTGCGATCGACCTTTGGGCCCTCAGCAACACAGCTGCATTTACGTCCGGTTACAGCATCCCGCTGTCACATGAACCACGGGGATGCAGTGACGGTCATAAGTCTGAGGACCCAGCTGTAGGTCACTATTTCCAGTGGCATTTGTAACTTTTGAACAGTTGCTAAATAAATGTTTGTAAGTCAAGGACTGAATTTTTCTTCAGTCGAGCTGAGTTACCTCTCATCGGTCGTCCTCGACTTATGACCGCCACTGAGCCCAAAATGCATGACGCTAAGCAAGACACAAGTGAGTTTTTGCCTTATTTTACGACCCTTCTTGCCTCGGTTTGCTAATCACCTCCGTCGTTAAATTAGTCACCCTCGGTTGTTAAGTGAATCTGTCTTCCTCCCCCCACCATCGACTTTGCTCGTCCGAACGGTCGCAAAAGGGGGAATCACATGACCCCCCCGGACTTCTGCGACCGTCATAAATACGAGTCCATGGTGCCAAGCGTCCGAATTTTCATCGCATGACAATGAAAAACCATCGTAAGTTACTTCCCCCCCCCCCTCTGAACGGTCACTAAAGGAGCGCTCGCAAGTCAAGGACTACCTGCATTTATCTCCAATCCTCCCAACTTTTTCCGACTTCTGGCTTTCTCCTCTTGCAGGCATCAAGTACTTTGGGAACGCTACATGGGCACCCTCAAGGCCTGCCTGCTGAAGATATATCACGATTAACCCCCCCCCCCCCCGATTTTGATTATTTTCTTTAAATTAAAAAATAAAAACACCAGATGTTCATATTTATTTCGGGAGAGACACCCTCAAGGCCAGAGTTGCCGTGTTCCTCCGTGGCTCCTCTCCTCGCACCCGTGACCTCCAAAGCTCATCCTTCCTCTCCCCCTTATCTTTTTTTAATTCCCCTTCCTTTTGACAATGAGGACTAGTCCATTATTTTGAGTTGTTGTTGGTTTTTTGTTGTTTTTTTGGCTCGGATGAAATAAAGAATCCGTTTCGGTCCCAAGCTGGCGCGTGACTTGATTTTTGGCTTGGCTAGGTTGAATGAGGAACACTGAGTCTTAAAAGACCGTGCCTGGTGGGTGGGGGATTATGGGGGTTGTTGTCCAACCGATCCAGCACGGGAAAAGAAGGCTTTCGGCTCTCTGAATTAAAATTGGGGGGGGCTGTCTGTCTTTTGTGGGTGCTTTTGCTGAAAAGAAAATCTCTCCCCGCAAGAAGGCTCCGGCTCGATTTGGCTGGCCCGGTTGTGTTGAATTAGAGCAGGGTTTAAGGGGAGAAAGCCAGGCCTGGTGGGGGATGATGGGAGTTGTCATCCAATACATCTGGCAAGGGGAGAGAAGGGGAACTGCGAAGTGTCAGAATTAAAACTGGGTTTTATCGCTCTTGGATGATGCTGGTTTTTGGTTCTTGAGGGTGTGAAAGCACCTTCTAAAAATTATAATGGCAGGATAGGATTTTTGAGCCAGAAACCCGGGAATGCAGATTCAGATGTAAGCCGGATCCCAACATGGAAGAATGGGGAAAAATTGTGTTGGATGCTCAAAAGAGAGAGAAGTTTGGTTGGAACAGAACAAAATAAGATCTTCCTCATTTTACAACCATTCACACAAAGAAAGAGAAAGAAAGAAGGAAGGAAAGGAAAGGAAAGGAAGGAAAGAAAGAAAGAAAAGAAAGAGAGAGAGAGAGAAAGAAAAAGAAAGAAAGAAAGAAAGAAAGAAAGAAAAGAAAAAGAAAGAAAGAAAGAAAGAAAGAAAGAAAGAAAAAAGAAAGAATAAGAAAGAAAGAAAATCTTTTCAAAGCACCTGAGGGCAGGACAAGGAGCAACGGATGGAAACCAATCAAAGAGAGAAGCAACCTAGAACTAAGGAGAAACTTTCTTAACAGTGAGGACAATTAACCAGTGGAACTGCTTGCCACCAGAAGTTGTGGCTGCTCTAACACTGGAGGTTTTTAAGAAGAGACTGGACAGCCGTTTGTCTGAAATGATATATAGGGTCTTCTGCCTGAGAGGGGGTTGGACTAGAAGACCTCCAAGGTCCCTTCCAACTCTATTATTCTCTGAAATTGCGGGTGGGCTCCATGCCTAATGAAGAGGCGGCTTAGATGTAATACAATAGCAATCTTCCAACATTTGAGGGTCTGCCACAAAGAAGAGGGGGGGGTCGACCTATTCTCCAAAGCACCTGTACCCATAATTCCATTCCTCCCCGCTCTCCGCGCATGGTGCGCGACCCCTTTCCCCGCGCTCCGCCCGCTTTTGATACGTGACGACAAAAAGGTTACCAGTAGGCCTGATTTGCACCCTCCCCAGGCTCCAGAGGCTTTCTTGGAGCCTGGGGAGGGCTAAAACAGCCTTCCCCAACTCCCCCTCCCGTTTCCCGACTTCCGGTGAGCCTGGAAGGCCTGAAAAATCAGCCGGCTGGCGCGCGTATGCATGCTGGAGCTGAGCTAGGGCAATACTCGCGTGCCCACCAATATGGCTCTGCGTGCCACCGTCATGGGCATAGGGTCTCCTGCTCGAGCAGGGGGTTGGAGTAATAGTAACGGTAACAGAGTTGGAAGGGAGCGTGAAGGTCATCTAGTCCAACCCCCTGATTCGAACTGCCGAATTGCCGACTTTTCTGATCGACAAGCTCAGCGGCTTAGCCGCTCGACGGCTTCCGAGGTCCCTTCGCGCTCTTGTTATTCTGTCATGCTGTTAAATCGCTTTCAGCAACAACATCCAGATTTCTCTAATGCCACCCTGCAAGGAGGGAGGGAGGGAAGGGAAGGGAAGGGGGGGTGTCTTCCCCTCCCAGAGGGGCTCAACGAATATGGGGGTGCAGCCAATGGAAAGGGACAAAAACTGGCACGGAGAGGCCGAGCCCGCTTAACGGATGCAAACAGCTGGCTGGTCCCGAAAGGGTGTTTACTGCAAGCTAAGTGAAAACAGATGTTGGCTTCGAGCCTTTGACAACATCTGCTTGTCTCGGGGCCAAGAATTCGGGGTGGGGGGGCTGAGTGTGTGTGTGCCGGGCGGGGGGGGGGGGGGGGCAAATCAGCCAGCGCACTCTTAGGGCACACCCGCCCGTCACTCTCTCTCTCTCTCTCTCTCTCTCTCGCTCCGCAGCCCGGCCAGAATTGGGGGGTGTTCGCCCGAAGAAGGGGTGCCAGAGTCCGTGCCAAGCGCTTGTCAATGAGTGAGTGATGGGAGGTTTCTTTCTGGGGGGGGGGCTGGAGGGGCTGGGAAAAGGGGGCTGAGAAGGGGGGGATAGAGGAACAAGCCAGGCCTGGGAGAAAGAGCAGGAGTTGGGAAGGGGAGGAAGGAAGGAAGGAAGGAAGGAAGGAAGGAAGGAAGGAAAGCTGTGCGTAAGTGGCAGGAAAAGGGTGCATTTTTTCCGTAAATGGTGCTCCAAAGTGACTTTGCTCCATTCGTGGGGGTCCAGGCCCCGAAGGAAAAAAAAATCTAGGGGTGCCCCTGCTCAATTCTGGGGGCGGAGGGGGTTTTGCACCAGAGAGAGTGAATAAATTTGTGTCCGATGCCTTAATTTTGTGCCTAGCCCTTCTAAGACATGATCTTTGCCAATCGTGGTTTGTTCTGCTGCCCGAATGCTCCAGATGAGTTTTAGGGTAACGGAAAACTGGTCTAATTACCCCCAAGGCTCTCTTTAAGTTTGTGGGGAGCATTGGTAGATAGTCGTACGAGAGAGTCTGTGGGGTGCTGGCTGCCCCCCCCCCCGAGAGCCTCTAAAACCCCGCCAGCAAACTGGGATCGCGTGTCGTTGCAAGCAAATGTTTATATATCTGGAATGGATGTTCGTTCTGATTCTGCTCCGGGCCGTTTTTTCCTTCTCGCCGGCTCGGTTGGTTCAAAACCGAGAATAATTAGACGGTTATCAAAAAGTTTATTCTGCGCTTGAAACGAATAGCTGTATCCCTGTCGCTTTGGGTTTATGTCCCAGGCATATAAAATGCAAAACTATTTTAATTCACCTGATTTGCACTTCATGGACCCCTTTCCGGATTGTTCAAGCTTCGAATCATACATACATAATATAAAAATATAAATATTAAATGTAAATATAAATATAAATATAATTGTGTGTGTGTGTATGTATATATATATCAAATTTATATTTTGCTGATAAATAAAGGGAGACTAGCTAGCTGATGAAAGCTAAATAGCTTGAAATAGATCTATAGTAGTCTCCCTTTATTTCTTTATCAGCAAAATATAAATTTGATATAAAATGGTTTGTCGTGAATGCGACTGCTTGAGGGCTCCTGGATTGGAGCTGAAAGGCGACAGGGAAGCAGGATGCTCCCTCCCACATATTGGGGTAGACCAGGTGCTTCGATCGAAAAACACTTTATATATTGTGAGATATTTCTCACAATCGTTCATTTAGTGATCATTCAAAGTTGCAACGGCACTGAATAGAATAGAATAGGATTCAGAATAGAATAGAATAGAATAGAATAGAATAGAATAGAATAGAATAGAATAGAATAGAGAAGAAGAGAAGAGAAGAGAAGAGAAAAGAGAAAAGAGAAAGATTCTGGATAGAAGAGAAGAGAAGAGAGAAGAAAGAGAAGAGAAGAGAAGAAAAGATTCTGGATAGAAGAGAAGAGAAGAGATAAGAGAATAAGATTCTGGTTAGAAGAATAGAATAGAATAGAATAGAATAGAATAGAATAGAATAGAATAGAATAGAATAGAGAAGAAGGAAGAGAAGAGAAGAGAAGAGAAGAGAAGAGAAAAGAGAAGAGAAGAGAAGAAAAGAATAAGATTCTGAAGAGAAGAGAGAAGAGAAGAGAATAAGATTCTGGATAGAAGAATAGAATAGAATAGAAATAGAACAGAACAGAACAGAACAGAACAGAATAGAATAGAATAGAGAAGGAAGAGAAAAGAGAAGAGAAGAAAAGAATAAGATTCTGGATAGAAGAATAGAACAGAACAGAATAGAATAGAATAGAATAAGATTCTGGATAGTAGAATAGAATAGAATAGAATAGAATAGAATAGAATAGAATAGAATAGAATAGAATAGAATAGAATAGAATAGAATAAAATAGAGAAGGAAGAGAAGAGAAGAAAAGAAAAGAAAGAAAAGAAAAGAAAGAAAAGAAAAGAAAAGAAAAGAAAAGAAAAGAAAAAAGAAAAGATTCTGGATAGAAGAGAAGAGAAGAGAGAAGAAAGAGAAGAGAAGAGAGAAGAGAAGAGAAAAGATTCTGGATAGAAGAGAAGAGAAGAGATAAGAATAAGATTCTGGTTAGAAGAATAGAATAGAATAGAATAGAATAGAATAGAATAGAATAGAATAGAATAGAATAGAATAGAATAGAATAGAGAAGGAAGAGAAGAAAAGAATAAGATTCTGGATAGAAGAGAAGAGAGAAGAGAAGAGAAGAGAATAAGATTCTGGATAGAAGAATAGAATAGAATGCTTTTTTTTACACATGGTCCTTGACTTACAACAGCTCATTTAATGACCGTTTCAAGTTACAACGGCACTGAAAAAAAGCAACTTATGACTGTTTTTCATAGTTACGACCATGGTCCTGCAATCAAAATTCAGACGCTTGGCGACCGACTCATATTTATGACCGTCACAGTGTCCCAAGGTCACACGATCTCCGTTTTGCGACCTTCTGACCAGCCAAATCAATGGGGAAGCCGGATTCGCTTAACAACCAGGTTGTTAAACTTAACAACGGCAGTGATTCATTGAACAGCTCCGGCGAGAAACGTCGTAAAACGGGGCTTAAACAAATGTCTCGCTTAACAACAGAAATATTGGGGTCAGTTGTGGTCGTAAATCAAAGACTACCTGTAGATTATATATATATATATTCTTTCTATCTAGACATTAGCCTGATAAGCTATATCCATTTCTGCAGGTAGACCTGATTTATAACAATCGGGCCAATATGAAGGCCAATATTTCTGTTGGCCTCAAGTGATCGATGTTATAACCTTTTTGTAACGGTTGTTAAGCAAATCACTGCAAATGTGAGCCACGCAATGCACAATGTCATTGACTTTGCTTGTCGGAAGCCGGCTGGGAAGATCGCAAATGGCAAATCACGTGAGCGAGGGTTGTAAGTACGAGGACCGGTCGTAAGTCCGCCTTTCCAGCGCTGTTGCACCTTTCAACGGCCGCTAAACGGATCGTCCTAACTCAAGGACTGCCTGCCTAGCTTCCCCTTATTTTCGCACTGCCGGCCGCTTTGAGCCAGGGAGGATTGTATGGCAGGGTTTTAAAATAAATATATAAAACCCTGGATAGAACTTAAGTGGCAGGTCGACTTTGACATATATTGTGTACCTTTGTCTGACAAAAGGGTGTATTTAGCCTTCCTGGGAGACAGTAGCTCTGTTGTGTAAATATACACACACGCCTTCATCCGTGTTTTCTTGCCATCGACGTCCTCAGATTCATCCAGGCACAGAAAACGGATTTAAAACTAAATAAATCCCAGCTTTTTGGAGGTAGGTGTCCCTCCGTTATCTCTATACGGTAAAGGTTTCCCTCGCACATCTGTGCTAGTTGTTCCTGACTCTAAGGGGCAGTGCTCATCTCCGTTTCAAAGCCGAAGAGCCAGCGCTGTCCGAAGACGTCTCCGTGGTCATGTGGCCGGCATGACTCAACGCCAAAGGCGCATGAACGCTGTTCCCTTCCCACCAAAGGGGGTCCCTATTTTTCTACTTGCATTTTTTACCTGCTTTCGAACTGCTAGGTTGGCAGAAGCTGGGACAAGGAACAGGAGCTCACCCCATTACGCGGCACTCGGGATTCGAACTGCTGAACTGCCGACATTTCGATCGACAAGCTCAGCGTCTTAGCCGCTGAGCCACCGCGTTCCTTTCATTACTATGTATACTGTTACATAAAATAACATATTATTTGGGGGGGCGGCAGTGATTTTTGCTACTGGTTCTCTCAACCACCCACCATCATCGCTATATTATTATTATTATTATTGGTTAATCTTTAGTGAGATTCACAGCCTTTGAGGCTGGTTAATAGCTCAGCAGCTCGAGTCCTAACCAAGGACCTAGGAACTGTTAAGGTATCGTCGGAGGATGTAAGCTCTTCCGAGTAAGGTGGTTTTTTGTAGAGTCAAAATGTTCAAATCCTGCAAATTTAGAATTTTTAAATAGCGGGGTAGCCTTTTGGGTATTGTATTATTATTATTATTATTATTATTATTATTATTATTATTATTATTATTATTATTATTATCATTATCATCATTCATCATCATTTATTTATTTATTTATTTATTTATTTATTTTTATAAATAATATAAAAGATATGTATATATGTCCTCCTGGTTCCTGTAGTCTGCAATTTTTTTCCTCTGGAAATCCATTCCTACGCGCACTCCCAATTTTTTCTCTGGATCTCCAGAGAAAAAAATTACAGACTTACAGGAAACCATTTGCACCACTCCGGTGACCCTGAGGACACAGATAAAAACTCCAGAGGGCCTCAAGGACCCTCTAAAAAAGGATGCAAATGACCAGCTTTGTCTGCAAGGCGTATCAATCCTTCCGTTCCCCACCATCCAGTCAGAGCTGAAGAAGCTTCTGCGATGAGAAGTGAAACGTCTTCAAAAGAAAAAAAAAATCAAGACAGTCCAGTTGCCTCTTGAAAAAAAAAATCACCTTTGGGATAAGCATAACCTTGGATGACTGGGAATCTCTACAGATGCTGCAAATATTTTGAATTTTTAAATAATTTTTTTAATGGCTCGGTTTTTCCTCTCCCAGGTGTGAAAATGAAGCTGGTTTCCTGCATTTTCCTGGCCACACTACTGAAAGCTGCTTTCGCCCAAGAAGACCCCAATACTTACACGGTAATAAAGGGGCCGAATCGAAGCTCGGAGGCTCCTAAATTCCTAAAAGAGGAGAGAAACAAACTTTGTAGGGAAAAAAAAATTGTCTTCCATGAGCCCAGAATTGCGTTCTTAGTGGGGATATCAAGAACAAGGTGATTGAGGGAATGCGGGATTCGAACCGGGGAAACCCCCTTGCTTGGTCGTTGAAACGCTGGCATCGATTCTTGTCGTTCAGTCGAGGACTACCTGTGAAAGGGAACTCTGAACATATGCAGAGGGTGCCTCTTCTAGTCATTTATTTAGAATTTAAAATTGTCTTTTTTTAAAAAAAGGATAAAAATGTTTGCAATCCAGTCCTAGATCCGGTAATCTCACCAGTTTCTTTCAAATTTTTCCAATTTCTCCCCGTCGTAGGAATGCACCGACGGCTATCAGTGGGATGCCGAAACTCAGCACTGTAAAGGTAAAACACCAGCCCTCAAAAGCAGTGAAAAACAGATACAGATGAACAGAGTGGGAAGGGACCTTGTAAGGTCATCTAGTCCAACCCCCTGCCCAAGCAGGAGACCTGACACCATTTATGACAGATGGGCAGTCCAGTCTCTTCTTGAAAGCTTCCAGGGATGAAGCTCCCACAACTTCCGAAGGCAACTTCTCTTCCATGGGTTGATTGTTCTCACTGTCAGGAAATTTCTCCTTATTTCTAGGTTGAATCTCTCCTTGGTCAGTTTCCATCCATTATAACAGCGTTTAGTCTACGTTCTACTGCCCCCTGTTTTAGTGATTGGGTTAAAGTGGTTGTGTGAATGGGACTTGTGAGTCTACGGTATGATGTGGGGATGGTGGGGGGGAAATAATGGAAAAGAGTGGGTTTTTGCAAAATTTCCAATCTGCCTGCCTCGAGGAACAACGGATGGAAACTAATCAGGGAGAGAAGCGACCTACAACGAAGGAGGAATTCCCCGACAGTGAGAAAAATTAACCGGTGGAACTGCTTGCCACCGGAAGTTGTGGGTTCTCCCTCGCTGGAGGTTTTTAAGAAGGGATTGGACCAGGAGGTTTGAAGTCAGTTGGGTTTGGGCAGTTTTGCATGTGCAATCCCTGTTTGATTAGTTTGTGTGTGTGTGTGTGTGTGTGTGTGTGTGTGTGTGTGTGTACGGTGTTTTGTGACCTTAGAAATCAGGAACTAGGTGTAGCCAGTGGGGTGAACCTACCTGTGATATCCTGAAGATTGGGTCCTCATTTTACCGACTTCGCAAGGATGGAAGGCTGAGCTAACCTTGAGCCGGTCAGGATCGAACTCCTGGCAGTCGGCAGAATTAGCCTGAAATGCTGCATTCTAACCACTGAGAAGGAAGGGAGGGAGGGAGGGAGGGAGGAGGAAGGAAGGAGGAAGGAAGGAGGAAGGAAGGAAGGGAAGGAGGAAGGAAGCAAGGAAGGAGGAAGGAAGGAAAGGAAGGAGGAAGGAAAAAGGGGAAAAGAAAGGGAAAGGGAGGGAGAGACAGAGGAAAGAAAGATAGAGGATAGAAGGAAGGAAGGAAGGAAGGAATAGCACTTAGACTTATATGCCACTTTACAGTGCTTCACAGCCCTCTCTAAGCAGTTTACAGAGTCAGCCTCTTGCCCCCCAACAATCTGGATCCTCATTTTACCAACCTCGGAAGGACGGAAGTCTGACTCAACCTTGAGCCGGTCAGGATCGAACTGCTGGCAAAGGGCAGAATCAGCCTGCAATCCTGCATTCCAACTCCAAGGCGGAATCATCGCAACCGGACGATTTTTTTTTTTTAACTTTTTAACTTCAGCGCCGTTTCTTCCTCTCTAGATATCAACGAATGCGAGACCATCCACCACGCCTGCAAAGGGGAGATGAAATGCATCAACCATTACGGGGGATACCTGTGTCTTCCGCGTTCCGCCTCGGTCATCAACGACGTCAATGCCGAACGGGCCCCTCTTGACAGTCCCCCCAGGCTGAGACCTCGCCCGCCGGTCCAGCCCTCCGGCCGACCTCACACTTGCTCCCAGGGCTACGAGCCTGACCACTATGGATCGTGCGCGGGTGAGTTAGCCGGGCCTGAATTCCACCTTAAAAAGCAGGAAGCAGAGTCTTGGTCTCGGCAAAACGTCTTTTATTTACATGACTGTGAATTCCTTTCATTCACAGTCAGCAAGGCCTGTCCAAACAGTCTTTCAGAGGAGTACTTATTAACACAGAACTTATCTTGCTTGGAAAGCTGCCATGTAACTTGTTTCCAAACGCACCACAAGGCAAAACTTGGCACAGAGTCACGGAACGAAGGGATTGTTTCCTGCAAAAGCCCCCTCCCCGTTCGCAATCGAAAATCCCAATTTTCTTCCGGGTTGCAGTGAGGAATTCCCACTAGATTCCTGGAAATTCCCACTCCCCTTCCTCATCCCTTCGCTTTTCGCCCCGTTGGCAGTAGCTCCCCCCATTTTTTTCCCTCACAATCTTTGATTTTCCGCTCTGCCTTTTTGTTTTCCCGTGTAGACGTGGATGAGTGTGAGTACGATTTGCACGACTGCCAGCCCAGCCAGCAGTGTATCAACACCATCGGTAGTTTTCACTGTCAGTGCCCGGAGGGCTACCGGAAGATCGGCACAGAGTGTGTAGGTAAGCGAGTGGCACACCCGCTGCCTGAAATGGGGTTGTGTCATTCACTGCTTAGTGCCTCGTCGGGGCTCAGGTATCGCCTGTACTTAACAGCTGGAGTCTCCAACTTGGCTGCGGCCCACTACCGGAATGTCTGGAATGGTATAGGGCCGATGGCGAACCTATGACACGTGTGCCACAGGTGACACACGGAGCCATATCTGTGGGCACGCGAGCATTGCCTTAGCTCAGCTCCAGCGCGCCTGCGTGCACCGGCCATCTGATTTTCAGGCCTTCCGGGCCTACCGGAAATAGGCCGTTTCCAGCCTCCGGGTGGGGAGAAGGCCGTTTTTGCTCTCCCCAGGCTCCTAGAAAGTCTCTGGAGCCTGGGGAGGGTGAAAAAATGGGCCTACCTGGTGATGGTTAGCCATCACTGGTATAGGGTCTCCTGCTTGAGCAGGGTTGGACTAGAAGACCTCCAAAGTCCCTTCCAACTCTGGTATTCTGTTACTGTGACGTTGTTTAGTGTACGGTGTAAACCTTAATGATCACAAATGCCTTTTCAGATATTTTTCCACCCTGGGTATGATGGCACCACACATTTTACCAGGCCAGCAAAATGTACAAAACCTAGGAAACTTAGTTAGAATTTAAATCAGCTTCATTCCTGATTTCTTTGGGGAGCGTCGTATGTTGTGCAGGCCTAAACCTAGCTTGCTGGAGCCTTCCCCGGTTCCTACAAACCTTGGAAGCAGGTAAACCTGCCTCTATTTTCAGAGAGTAAAAAACCAAAGAAACCCAAATCTGAAATGGATCAAGTCAGTTTCTCAGAGAAGAAGGCAAAACCCTCTGTGCATGCCCAGAGGCAGAGCAGGGTGGATATGCTTTTATAATTCAGAAATTCCTTCTCGTTTTCCCCCCCCCCTCTTTTCCGCTACAGACATAGACGAATGCCGGTACCGCTATTGTCAACACCGTTGTGTCAATTCCCCAGGATCTTTCACCTGCCAGTGTGAATCTGGATTTCAGCTCGCCAGTAATAACCGCTCGTGTGTGGGTAAGAGAAAATCCATCTCACCGCACCCCGGAAATCCTACACAGGTAGTCCTCGACTTACGACCACAATTTCGACTTACGACCCAAAATTTCTGTTTGGAAAGAGAGAGTTTTGCCCCATTTTACGAGCTTTCTTGCCCCCATTGTTAAGAGAATCCCTGCGGTCGTTAAATCAGTCACACCGTTGTTAAGCGAATCTGATTTCCCCGTGGACTTTGCTTGTCAGGAGGTCGCAAAATGAGGATCACGTAACTCCGGGGACACTGCGACTCGCTATAAATGTGAACCCGTGGCCAAGCGTCCGAATTTGGATCTCATGGAGATGCAGCAACGGTCATAAGGGTGAATACCGGTCCTAAGTCACTGTCTGAGTGGTTGTAAGTCGAGGACTATCTGCCCTGCTCAGAATTGTTCAGAAGACAACAATTTCTAATCAAACTCGCATTCAGGTTTGAGACAGATTGACAGAATTCAAAATCATAATATTGGAAGCTCATCTCCCCCCTCCGCACGCCCCCGGGATAGACTACTACAATATTGTCTACCTGGGGCTGCCCTTGAAGAGTATCCAGAAGTTTGTAATTGTTATATCTATATCTATATCTATATATACCTATATTATATACATATATTGTTACATGCCTGGCGAGGTGGCTCAGCGGCTAAGACGCTGAGCTTGTCGATCAGAAAGGTTGGCAGTTCGGCGGTTCGAATCCCTAGTACAGGTCTCCTGTGTGAGGAAGGGGGTTGGACTAGATGACCTCGAAGGTCCCTTCCAACTCGATTACTGTTATTATTATTACTGTTAAGCGAATTAAATAGCCCAAACAACAGGATGTTATCAAGCACTAACAAAACGTAAGCATTAGAAAAATCAATAAAATCTTTTCTTTTTAAAGTCTTTTACCACTCAGGGTCCATTATTATGGGATGCAAAGCCTGATTTTTATTTTATTTTTTTGCAACTTCCCTTCCCCAGATGTGAATGAGTGCGAGATGGGAGCTCCTTGCAAGCAACGCTGCTTCAACACTTATGGCACTTTTATCTGTCGGTGCAACCAAGGCTACGAGCTGGACCACAACGGATTTACCTGCAAAGGTAGGCGGGGCCTACTTTAGCCCCACCCCTTTCTCCTTCCCACGCCTTGTGGCAAGCTCCTCCCTCCCCCACCCCTTCGCTCTTCAGATCAATTCACCGTCTTGAGTTTTTATTAATTTATTTAATTTATTTTTTAAAAAAAATATTTTTTATTAAACAGGGTTTTTCAAAAAAAAAACCAAAAAAACAAAAAAAAAGAAATGTTTACGATTTTCTTCTTTTCAACAATTTTGCATCAGTAAATATTTCTTACCTATCCATTTTTTCTCCCTTATTTCAAGTTGCCACTTATACATATAATTCATATATTGATTTATATACATACTGATAACAGTGTACTCAATAGCGATCATACATTCTTTGTCCATGAAAGAAAGAAAGAAAGAAAGAAAGAAAGAAAGAAAGAAAGAAAGAAAGAAAGAAAGAAAGAAAGAAAGAAAGAAAGAAAGAAAGAGAGCTAAAGAAAAAGAGAGAGGGAGAGAGAGAGAGAGAATAAGAAAAAAAGAGAAAAAAAGAAAGAGAAAGACAGATTTGTAGTCCTCAATTTACAACCATTTATTTAAAGTTACAACGGCACTCAAAAGGGACTTAAAACCATTCCTCGCACTTACGACGGTCACAGCATCCCCATAGTCACGCAATAAAAATTTGGTTGCTTGGCAACCGGCATGTATCTCCATTGGCGACCTTCCCCTGGGGGGCAGGCTTCTGACAAGCAAAGTCAGTGGGAGGGGCCAGATTCGCTTAACGACCGCTTAACTGCAGTGATTCGCTTAGTAACTGTGGGGGAGGGGGGAAATGTGAGGGGCGTGAACCCCGCCCCCTTTTTTAGTTTTTAATTGTTATTAATTGTTTAGTTTTAATCTGTTAATGGGTTTTAATTCGTATTGTTTTAATTCGGGCCAAAGTATATAAATTCTTTTAATTAATTTTAAATTTTGTATTGTTATGTATTTTAGTTCTGGCTGTGCACCGCCCTGAGTCCACTAGGAGAAGGGCGATATATAAATTGAATGAATGAATGAATGAATGAATGAATGAATGAATGAATGAATAAATAAATAAATTGGGCGCGGCTCCCCGAACAACCTTGCCTTGCTTAGCAACCGGAATTTTTTTCTCCGTTGTGGTCGTAATTCGAGGACGACCTGTATAACGATCCTGCTTTTTTCCCCCCCCCCCTCCTGCTCAGATGTGGACGAATGCAGCTATTCGAATTACTTGTGCCAATATCAGTGTGTCAATGAACCCGGTCACTTCTCCTGCGTTTGTCCTCAAGGTTACAATCTCGTGAGCACCAGGCTTTGCCAAGGTAACCGGAGGGATTTGGGGTTGGCACCGGGGAACAGGGGCGGGTGGAGAAAAACCCCCCAAAACCCAGATACCAAGACCCAGGTGAATCAGGTTTGAAGAACAGAATAAGAATAAGAAAGTGGGACGGAATGGAATGGGAGATAGAGAAAAGAACAGAAAATAGAGAATAGAAAATAGAAAATAGAATATAGAATAGAATAGAATAGAATTAGAGCAGAATAGAATAGAAAGAATAGAATAGAATAGAATAGAATAGAATAGAATAGAATAGAGAATAGAATAGAATAGAATAGAATTAGAGCCGGATAGGATAGGATAGGATAGGATAGGATAGGATAGGATTAGAGCAGAATAGAATAGAATAGAAAATGGAATGGAATGGAATGGAATAGAATAGAAAGAATAGAATAGAATAGAATAGAATAGAATAGAATAGAATAGAATAGAATTAGAGCCGGATAGGATAGGATAGGATAGGATAGGATAGGATAGGATAGGATTAGAGCAGAATAGAATAGAATAGAAAATGGAATGGAATGGAATGGAATGGAATGGAATAGAATAGAATAGAATAGAATAGAATAGAATAGAATAGAATAGAATAGAATAGAATAGAATAGAATAGAATAGAATAGAATAGAATAGAATGCGTGCGCAAACACACACACACCCACTCCCCCGCTCCTGGCATGCGATGGCCCAGTATGCCCGTTTTTCTCTCTCATCTGGCTCCAGAGCCTTTCTTGGAGCCTGGGGAGGGCAAAAACGGACACACACACACACACACAAACACACACACACACACACACACACACACACACATATGGAGGCCCTCCGGAGGCCAGAAACAACCCGTTTTCCGACTTCCGGTGGGGCTGGAGCTGAGCTCGCGTGCCCACTGATATTGTTACGCGTGCCACCATTTAGGGAAACTCTAGAGAAAATCCAAGAATGGCGACTGGGGAAGATTGATTTTGGCAGCATTTTAAGGCTGGATTTTTAACGTTCCTTCTTTCTTTTCTCTCCTCCTCTTCTTCTTTCCTTGGCCTCTTTTCTCTTCCTTCCTTCCTTCTCCTTTTTTCCTTTTCTCCTTCCTTCCAATTCTTTTTCCCTCCTTGCTTCCTCTTCCTCCCTCTCTTTCAATTTCCTTCCTTCCCAATTCTTACTCTCTTTCTTTCCTCCCTCCCTCTCTTCAATTCCTTTTCTTCCTTCCTTTCCTCTATTTCTTCATCCTCCCTCTCTCCCTTCCTTCTGTTTCTTCATCATTCATCCCTCCCTTTTCCTTCCTTCCTTCCTTCCCTCCCTTCATCCTCCTTCCATTTCTTCTTTTCGTTCCTTCCTTCTTTCCTTCCTTCCCTTCCTTCATCCTCCCTCCATTTCTTCTTTTCCTTCCTTCCTTTATTTCTTCCTTTCTTCCCTTCCTTCATCCTTCCTCCCTCCTTCCCTTCTTCCCTTCCTTTTTCTTCTCTTTTCCTAACTTCTTCTTTCCTTCCTTCATCCTCCCTGTTTCTTCTTTCCCTTCCTTCCTTCTTCTTCCTTCCCTTCCTTCCTTCCTTTCTTCCTTCCCTTCCTTCCTTCATCCTTCCTCTGTTTCTTCTTTCCCTTCCTTCCTTCCTTTCCTTCATCCTCCCTTTTTCTTCTCTTTTCCTAACTTCTTTTCTTCCTTCCCTTCCTTCCTTCATCCTCCCTGTTTCTTCTTTTCCTTCCTTCCTTCATTTCTTCCTTCCTTCCCTTCCTTCATTCTTCCTCCCTCCCTCCCTTCTTCCCTCCCTTTTTCTTCTTTTCCTAACTTTTCTTCCTTCCTTCCTTCCGTCTTCCCTCCCTTTTTCTTCTCTTTTCCTAACTTCTTCCTTCCCTTCCTTCCTTCATCCTCCGTTTCTTCTTTTCCACCCTTCCTTCCCTTCCTTCCTTCATCCTCCCTCTGTTTCTTCTTTTCCTTCCTTCCTTCATTTCTTCCTTCCTTCCCTTCTTTCATCCTTCCTCCCTCCCTCCCTTCTTCCCTCCCTTTTTCTTCTCTTTTCCTAACTTCTTTTCTTCTTTCCCTTCCTTCCTCCTTCCTCCCTCCCTCCCATCTTCCCTCCCTTTTTCTTCTCTTTTCCTAACTTCTTTCCTTCCTTCCTTCCTTTGTCTGCCTATCTCCGGCACCCACAGACATTAACGAATGTGAGTTAGACAGCAACCAGTGCACAGAGTCTCAGAACTGCGTGAATTATCACGGAGGATATCGGTGTGTGGAGAAGAAACTCTGCCAAGAGCCTTACATCCATGTCTCGGAGAAGTGAGTGGCGACAGGTCCGGAGGGTTGGTTGAGAGGAAAGGAGGAGAGGAATTGTAAACAGACCTTCCTGGGCTTGGATCCGGGCACAAAGGCTCCTTTATACCTCCCGGAATCAATCCGAGGCAACAATTTGTAAACACCTATCGGTGATTAACTAACCCGCAGAATGAGGAGGAAGAACTCCTACCGTGTTTCCCCCAAAATAAGACCTATCCAAAAAATAAGCCCCAGCTTGATTTTTACACGTGCACCCAATATAAGCCCTACCCCCTAAATAAGCCCTAATTAAGACAAGTTTATCCATGTTCAATCATGCTTTCTGGAGAATTCTGGGAGCTGATGTCCATGCATCTTAAAAGCATGTTGGCTGGGGAATTCTGGGAATTGAAGTTTATCCCTCTTCAATCATGCTGGCTGGGGAATTCTGGGAGCTGAAGTCCATGCATCTTAAAACAAGCTGGCTGGGGAATTCTGGGAATTGAAGTCCATGCAACTTAAAGCATGTTGGCTGGGGAATTCTGGGAATTGAAGTTTATCTTCAATCATGCTGGCTGGGGAATTCTGGGAAGTGAAGTTTATCCATCTTCAATCATGCTGGCTGGGGAATTCTGGGAGCTGAAGTTTATCCCTCTTCAATCATGCTTTCTGGGGAATTCTGGGAATTGAAGTTTATCCCTCTTCAATCATGCTGGCTGGGGAATTCTGGGAATTGAAGTTTATCCATCTTCAATCATGCTTTCTGGGGAATTCTGGGAGCTGAAGTCCATGCATCTTAAAACAAGCTGGCTGGGGAATTCTGGGAGTTGAAGTTCATTCATCTTTAAAAAAAAGAGCCATGGTTGAGAAACCTTGGTTTAGCAACCAGCGGAGACCAAGCAGTGCTCACGGCACAGCTGGACCACAACCTACCTCCTTGTAACAGTAACAGAGTTGGAAGGGACCTTGGAGGTTATCTAGTCCAACCCCCTGCTCACCCAGGAGACCTGTAACTAGGGATTCAAACTGCCGACCTTTCTGATCGACAAGCTCGGCGCCATCTTAGCCACTTCAACCAGTTTCTTCCTGTTGCAGCCGCTGTCTGTGCCCGACCACGAACCCCCTTTGTCATGACAAACCTTCCTCCGTTATCTACCGGTATATGAGCATCTTGGCCGATCGACCGGTGCCCTCGGATATTTTCCAAATTCAAGCCACCACCTTCTACCCAGGAGCCTACAACACCTTCCAGATCCGTTCAGGCAACGAAGATGGAGAATTTTACATCCGGGTAAGTCCGTATCCTAGCAACAGCCAATCGCAGTCATTTTTTCTGTAAGGATGCCGGCAGGTTTACTCTGGTACTTTGCTTTCCTAACTCTGATGCCTTTTAGGACAGGGATCTCCAAACATGACAGCTTTAAGACTTGTGGACTTCAACTCCCAGAATTCCCCCTGGCCAGGGGGAGTTCTGGGAGTTGAAGTCCACAAGTCTTAAATTTTGCATCCTTAGGGGGAAAAAAATGTTCGGATTACAGGTAGTCCTTGATTTACGACCATAACTGGAACCAGAATATGCTGTCAGGGTTCCAACGGATGCCCTAATTAAATCATGAGCCTCGAGCCAAGCTTCAAAAGAAATCCAGTTATTTATTAGGAGCTTCATGTCTGCACAAACCAAGTGAAGCCAACTCTGAACCCACATAATTTACAGCCCAGGCATGACCCTGTTTCCCCTCGCCACCCCCGGGTGTGTCATCAGTCACATTCGCCAATGAAGCAATTTCGCGGGTTGTAGAGATCATTCCCCTCCGGCCGCTGTGGGTAACCCTGGGAGACAGCCTTGAGAGAGATATGTCTGGAGTGTGCTTTTGTTTTTGGCTGCCATGCTGCTTCGCCGTTTTTCCATCGCCCTTGCCTATGGCAACTCGAGAGCAGGCCAGGGATGCTTTGCGAGTTGACATATGCCTTGCTAAGCAAGGAGTTTGTTCAATGAATTATGCTTGACTTTATGACCTCTTTTGCTCCAGTTGTTAAGCAAGTCACGGTAACCAATGGATTACGATTGTAATCTGTAATTGATCGATGTAATCCATCCATTGCCCCAGGTTGTTATGCAAATCACAATGAATCAATTGTCCCTCTGTCCCCTGTGACCGCATTTTATGACAGTTTTGCAAAAAAAAAAGTCACTTCTGTTTTTCTGGCCAAACCACACCTATGACCAACCCCTAGGTTTGCACTTACAACCATCGTGCTCGCTTAAAGACCTCTGCAAAAAAAAAATCATAAAATCAAGTCAGTCCACAATGGTCTGCTCATTTGACGACCTGCGATTTAGGGCTCTCTTACGGTTGTAACTTGAGGACTAACCCGTAGGAAGACTTAGAGCAGGGGTGTCAAACTCAGATTTCATTGAGGGCTGCATCAGGGTTGTGTTTGACCTCGGGGGTGGGGGGAGCCTGGAGGGGATGTGGCCAGCTCAATGTCACTCGTGTTGGGGGCACCAGTGGTGGCCAAGTGCTAAGACAGGACTTCCCTCGGACCCTACCACCCTCTCATTATAATTTCCTTCCTTCCTTCCTTCCTTCCTTCCTTCCTTCCTTCCTTCCTTCCTTCCTTCCTTCCTTCCTTCCTTCCTCATTCTCCTGTTTGCCTTCCTTCCCTCCCTCCCACCTCCCTTTTCTTTCTTTCTTTCTTTCTTTCTTTCCTTCCTTCCTTCCTTCCTTCCTTCCTTCCTTCTTTCCTTCCTTCCTTCCTTCCTTCCTTCCTTCCTTCCTTCCTTCCTTCTTTCCTTTCCTTCTTTCCTTCCCTCTCCATTCTCTTTTCTTCTTCCTCCCATTCTTTAATTTTTCCTTCCTTGCTCTCTTCCCATCTTCCCTTCTTTTTCTTCGTCTTTCCTCTGTCCCTTTCTCCTTGCCTGTCCTTTCTTGCATGGGCAAAACGCAAAAGGGGAAATGTTTCTCCTTTTGTCTTATTTTGCTTTTAGTTTGCTTTGCTAGCCCTTTGCCAGCGAAAACGGAGCTCGGTGTGGGCTGCACGCGCCCCCCCCCCCAAGTTCCATTTTGGGCCGCAATGGCCTCCTGCAGCCCTCTGCCAGCAAAAACAGAGTTCGGGGGGTGGGGGAAAGGCATGCGCGGCCCTCCTGAGCTCCGTTTTCGCTGGCAGAGGCACCGCGGACCGGTCATTCACTGTTTCCAAGGCGGCCCCCACGGACCAGATCCAGTGGTGGGAGTCAAATAATTTAAGAACCGCTTGTCTGCCCTAATGACCGGCTGGGTGGGCGTGGCCCGGGTGTGTGACAAGCAGCACTCGGCCTCCTGTACCCCCCCGTTGGAGCAAAAACGGGGCGCAGGGAGTGACATGCCGCCCACATCTCGTTTTGGGCCTAGTAGGCCTCCCTGCAGCCTCCTGGGAGCCAAAATGGGGCACATGGGGACTCCTGGAAGGGGTGGGGACGGCTACCAGCCAGCCAGCAATTTAATTACCGGTTTTCCCGAACCGGCTGAATTCCACCACTGGCCAGATCTAAGCACCACGCAGGCCATATTCGGCCCGTGGTTCCTCGAGTTTGACACCCCTGACTTAGAGGGTTGAACCGATGTGGCAGGCTGGGTGAGCTTCGGTTGGTTGGATTGTTGAAACTTAAAATTGGTCTCTCGGGAAATCACGACGAGCTTTTTCACATCTGTTTCCTCTGCAGCAAATCAGCAACATCAGCGCCATGTTGGTCCTGTCACGGGCCGTGGTGGGTCCCCGTGAGTTTGTGCTGGATTTAGAGATGGTCACCGTCAACAACCTGATGAGCTACCAGGCCAGCTCGGTGCTCCGCCTCACCGTCTTCGTGGGGGCTCATCCGTTCTAGTGGGGGGAGGGCAGATCTCCCCTCCCCCTTACCTGCCGTGGCAAGGAGAGGGGGTAAGCTGGCTTTGGGAATGGGGTGGAAAGGGGGTTGAGGGTTTCCGGCGGGGCGGAGAGAATGCACAGCACTGGGGTTAGAGTCGGTGCTTAGAATAGAATAGAGTAGAAGGCACGCGTTGGCTCAGTGGCTAAGACGCTGAGCTTGTCGATCGAAAGGTCGGCAGTTCAGTGGTTCAAATCCCGAGTGCCGCGTAAACGGGGTGAGCTCCCATGACTTGTCCCAGCTTCTGCCAACCTAGCAGTTCGAAAGCACGTAAAAAAAAAATGCAAGTAGAAAAATAGGGACCCCCTTTGGTGGGAAGCTAACAGCGTTCCGTGCGCCTTTGGCGTTGAGTCATGCCGGCCACATGACCACGGAGACGTCTTCGGACAGCACTGGCTCTTCAGCTTTGAAACGAAGATGAGCACCGCCCCCTAGAGTCGGGAACGACTAGCACATATGTGCGAGGGGAACCTTTACCTTTTTTAGAGTAGAGTAGAGTAGAGTAGAGTAGAGTAGAGTAGTAAAATATAATCAATATAAAGTAGAGTAAAATATAGAATAAATATAGAGTAGAGTAGAGTAGAGTAGAGTAGAGTAGAGTAGTAAAATATAATCAATATAAAGTAGAGTAGAGTAAAATATAGAATAAATATAGAGTAGAATAGAATAGAATAGAATAGAATAGAATAATAAATAAATAAAATAAAATAAAATAAATAAAATAAAATAAAATAAAATAAAATAAAATGAAATAAAATAAAATAAAATAAAATAAAATAAAATAAAATAGATGGAAGGGACCTTGGAGGTCTTCTAGTCCAACCCCCTGCTTAGGCAGGAAAGGCATACCGACTTCGGCATGCAGCAGTCGTCAGGGTGCTGTAGAAAAAACCAACATAGTTCTGGGCTGCATAAACAGACGGATAGAATCAAGATCACGTGAAGGGTTAATACCACTTTATAAGGCCTTGGAAAGGCCACACTTGAAATACGGCATCCATTTTCATCTGAAGTAGAAAACGATGCACAGACGGATTTGCATTTTGAGATTATCTTCTCCCCCACCAAAACAGTGCCAAGAAACCCCTCTTGCCAACACACGAAACTTCACTAGCTTACGCAAGTGTTTTCAAACAGCAAATCATCCCTTCTAGAACCGTAGAAGACGCACTACCCCTTCCAGTAAATGCTTGGGAGTTGTGGACTTTAGTTAGAATTGGACCAAGGATCATGGATGGTTGGTGGTATCAGGAAGAACTTCAAAACTAGCCTCCAATGTCTACTCTACCCTAAAATACTAGCAGAAGGGAAATCCTTTCAACTGAAATCTCTTCAGCCTGCCAGCCTGCAATGAATGGCCACGATGTAAAAAAGTTGTTGAGACTCTAAAAAGAGTGCAGAGAAGAGCAAGAAAGAGAATTAGGGGACTGGAGGCTAAAACATACGGGAACTGGGTATGTCTAGTTTAATGAAGAGAAGGACTAGGGGAGGCATGATAGCAGTCTTCCAATATCTCAGGGGCTGCCCCAAAGAAGAGGGAGTCAAGCTGTTCTCCAAAGCCCCTGAAGGCAGGACAAGAAGCAACGGATGGAAACTAATCAAGGATAGAAGCAACTTAGAACTAAGGAGAAATTTCCTGGCAGTTGGAACAATTAACCGTTGGAACCACTTGCCTCCAGAAGTTGTGAATGCTCCAACACTGGAAGTTTCTAAGAAGAGATTGGACGACGATTTGTCTGAAATGGTATAGGGTATCCTGCCTAAGCAGGGGGTTGGACTAGAAGACCTCCAAAGGTCCTTTCCAACTCTTTTATTCTATACCCGTGATGGTGAACCTATGGCACGTAGGTACCTACAGGTAGCCATATCGGTGGGCACGCAAGCTGAGCTCCAGCGTGCATCTGTGTGCCGGCCAGCTGATTTTTGGGCCTTCTGAGCCTATTGGAAGTCAGGAAACAGGCTGTTTCTGGCCTCCAGAAGACCTCCGGCAGGGGGGGAGGCCCTTTTTGCCCTCCCCAGACTCCTAGAAAAGCCCTGGAGCCTGGGGAGAGCAAAAAAACGGGCCTACCGGGCCATCACTGTTCTATACCATTCCAGACAGGTGGATTTCCAGTTTTTTCTTTAAAACCTTCAGTGATAGACCACCTGCAACTCCTGAAGGCAAGCTGTTCTACCTGTATATCGACAGCTACGACGACTGAATAAAATTTAATTCAGAGTGTGGAATCCGGCCGGTCTCTTTTTATCCCTTTCTCTCTTGTAGAAACGTCTGTCCAAGATGGAGAAACAAATCGAACAACAAGGAACACAACTCTACAGGTGTGGGGAAAAAAAATGGAGTCAGATGGCACTCACGGACTTCCCCACCAACTGTCCACCAGAATCACCCATCTCCAGACCTGGACACGTCCCGCAGAACCAAACCCCGTAGCTTTAAAAAAAAAGTTTGCGGCCATCCTGGACCCAATTCCCCTTCACCCGCCTATCTTAGCATCGTTTCCTTGATCCGTCACGCCGGCCACTAACGCAACCTTTTTCTCCTATTGCCCAAGGAGAACAACTCGGAGAAGTCATCCCTGCCCTTGGGATGAGTAGAGGACAATTTGAACCTTTCAGTAGAATTCCATTTTTTTATTTCTCTGGTTTAAAGAGAAAACGAGAGAAAGAGAGAGAGAAAAACAAGAGCAACGAGGCTTAGTAAAAGTTTGTTTTCTGGAAAAAAGGAAAGAAAGCGAACGAGGAAATTTGTGGGGGTCTGCGTCGCCGCCTGGTTTGGGGAGGATTTGAACGGGGAGCAGCAGGGCGGAGGTCTTGTAAATGTTCCCCTTGGAAAAAATACGGCTCAGGTGTTTAGGGTCAGCTATGGAAAGAGTCAGCTATGGACGCGGTGGCTCAGGATAAGATGCTGAGCTTGTCGATCGAAAAGTCGGCAATTCAGCGGTTCGAATCCCTAGTGCGGCGTAATGGAGTGAGCTCCCGTGACTTGTCCCAGCTTCTGCCAACCTAGCAGTTCGAAAGCAGGTAAAAAATGCAAGTAGAAAAATAAGGACCACATTTGGTGGGAAGGGAACAGAGTTTTCCGTGCGCCTTTGGCGTTGAGTCCTGCCAGCCACAAGATCACGGAGACATCTTTGGACAGCGCTGGCTCTTCGGCTTTGAAACGGAGATGAGTAGTGCCCCCTAGAGTCGGGAACGACTAGCAAATATGTGCGAAGGGAACCTTTACCTTTTCCTATGGAAAGAGTGGCTTTACTCAATTGTGGCTTTTACAGAAGTTTGGGTAAAGTTATCTGTGTTTTAGGGGAATGGGAGAGTAGAACAGTGCACAGGAGGTGGGCCTACCAGGTTGATCTTGCTCAACTTGGTAGCTAAGTAAGATGAGATGTCACCTGTTCACCTGGGAGATGATCAAACAGAGGTTTCGTTCAACCTTGGCAATGTTACGCCTTGTGGACTTCATGGCTGGCTGAGGAATTCTGGGAGTTGAAGTCCACAAGGCTTAAAGGTTGCCTTACGTTTCTCAACCTTGGCAGGTTTAAGAGGGGTGGACTTCAACTCCCAGAATTCCCTAACCAGCAGGCTTTAAGATGGACTTCGACTCCCAGAATCCCCCAACCAGCATGCTTTAAGATGGGTGGACTTCAACTCCCAGAATTCCCTAGTTACTATGATTTAAGATTGGAAGACTTCAACTCCCAGAATTCCCCAGCCAACCTGCTTTAAGATGGACTTCAACTCCCAGAATTCCCCACTTACTATGATTTAAGATTGGAAGACTTCAACTCCCAGAATTCCCCAGCCAACCTGCTTTAAGATGGACTTCAACTCCCAGAATCCCCCAGCCAGCAGGCTTTAAGATGGGTGAACTTCCACTCCCAGAATTCCCCAGCCAACCTGCTTTAAGATGGGTGAACTTCAACACCAGGATGGCTGGAGAATTCTGGGAGTTGAAGTCCACCGATTTTCCAGTCGCCAAGATTGAATAATCTTATTGGGTAGCCTTCGTCTTACAACTGTTCCTTTAGCGACCATTCAAAGTTCCAACAGCGTTGAAGAAAGTGACGTACGACTTATCCTCGGACTTGTGTCCATCCCTGCATCCCCATGGTCATGTGATTAAAATAGGGCTGCTTGGCAATCGGCATGTATTTACAACGGTGGCAGCCTCCTGCCACCATTTGGGACCTTCCCGCAAGCAAAGTCAATGGGGGCTGGGGGGGAGAGGCTGGATTCGCTTAACGACCACCTGATTCACTTAACCACCAGAACGAGAAAGGTCATAAAATCAGGCACAACTCACTTCACAGCAATGAAAAATCTGGTCCCGATTGTAGGTCGTAAATCAAGGACCCCCTATATATACTTAACCAACTATTTTGGAATGAATGAGTATTCAGGAGTCACTTTAAGAGGTGACTGAAAATAGCCTCGCAGCCTAATTAAATTTGTTCTCCCAAGGTATAAAAAAAATCCTGGGTGGAATTAGAGCATCACGACTAAAAACCGATGTTAATTTGGACCCTGTAAGAAATAATATTTGCCTTTCGAATATTACAAATTCTTCCAGGGGCTAAAGAAAGATTGCGAGCTGTTTATTTTTCTCTTGACTGGCCGAATATTTTTTGCTCTTCTTCCCACTTATAATATTTGAAAGCATCAAACAAACAAATGACTCATCCTTAAATCTGAGTATTTACTGGGGATCGTAAAACAGACATTTCTTTCTGGTTTATTAAAGAAATCGTAGTTGAGTGGCTTCACCCATGATGGCTTGGGACACCGTCGGAAATTGAAAAAGGGCACGGCTGTGTCAGAGCAGAAGTTCTATTTTCCTGCATTTGTCAACTATAGGTAGTTCTTGACTTATGACCAAAATTTGCAATTTGGAAGGAGGGAGGGAGGGAGGGAGGAAAGAAGTTATTGCGGGAAGGAAAGGAGGGAGTAGGAAGACTGTGGGAAGGAAGAGAGGAAGGGAGGGAAAGAAGGAAGGAAGGAAGATATTGTGGGAAGGAAGGGAGGGAGGGAGGAAGACTATGGGAAGGAAGAGAGAAAGGGAGAGAAAGAAGGATGAAGGAGACATGGAAGGAAGGAAGGAAGATAGATATTGTGGGAAGGAAAGGAGGGAAGGAGGAAGACTGGGAAGGAAGAGAGGAAGGGAGAGAAGGCAGGAAGGAAGATATTGTGGGAAGGAAAGGAGGGAGGGAGGAAGACTGGGAAGGAAGAGAGAAAGAAGGATGAAGGAGACATGGAAGGAAGGAAGGAAGATATTGTGGGAAGGAAAGGAGGGAGGAAGACTGGGAAGGAAGAGAGGAAGGGAGAGAAAGGAAGGAGACGTGGGAAGGGAGGGAGGGAGGGAGGGAGGAAGAAAGATATTGTGGGAAGGAAAGGGAGGGAGGGAGGAAGACTGGGAAGGAAGAGAGAAAGGGAGAGAAAGAAGGATGAAGGAGACATGGAAGGAAGGAAGGAAGATATTGTGGGAAGGAAAGGAGGGAGGGAGGGAGGAAGACTGGGAAGAAAGAGAGGAAGGGAGGGAAAGAAGGAAGGAAGGAAGATATTGTGGGAAGGAAAGGGAGGGAGGGAGGAAGACTGGGAAGGCAGAGAGAAGGAGAGGAAGGAGGAAGGAGAAATTGTGGGGAGGGAAGAAGGAAGGAAGGAAGATATTGTGGGAAGGAAAGGAGGGAGGGAGGGAGGAAGACTGGGAAGGAAGAGAGGAAGGAGAGAAAGGAAGAAGGAGGAAGGAGATGTGGGAAGGGAGGGAGGAAGGAAAGAAGGAAGACATTGTGGAAAAGAAGAAGGAGGGAGGAAGACTGGGAAGATAGGAAGAGGGAGAGAGAGAGGGAGAAAGGAAGGAAGGAAGATATTGTGGAAAGGAAAGGAGGGAGGGAGGAAGACTGGGAAGGAAGAGAGGAAGGGAGAGAAAGGAAGAGGGAGGAAGGAGATGTGGGAAGGGAGGGAGGGAGGAAAGAAGGAAGACATTGTGGAAAGGAAGAAGGAGGGAGGAAGACTGGGAAGGAAAGAAGAGGGAGAGAGGGAGGGAGAAAGGAAGGAAGGAAGATATTGTGGAAAGGAAAGGAGGGAGGGAGGAAGACTGGGAAGGAAGAGAGGAAGGGAGAGAAAGGAAGAAGACGACGTGGGAAGGGAGGGAGGGAGGAAAGGAAGGAAGGTAGTGTGGAAAGGAAGAGGGAGGGAGGAAGACTGGGAAGGAAGGAAGAGGGAGAGAGGGAGAAAAGAAGGAAGGAAGGAAAGTGGGGGAGGATGGGAGGATGGAAGGAAGAAAAGTAATAATCCTTGTTGTTAAAAAACTACTAGAAACTTTATTGGAATATGAAGACAATTAGGATTTAATTAGCATGTTGAGGTAGTCTATTTCTTAGGTTCTTTTCGGTCAAACAGGACAGAATTAGGCAGGATTGGGCACTGAAGGGAACACACAACGAGAGCATTTGTCCAAACCCCTTTTCTGGGGAGTGTGTATAAATGTGTGTGTGTGTGTTTGTTTGAGTGTAGGCAGAGATGACAAAAACCCTCCCAAATTGTGCAAGGAAGTGCAAGTTGGGGGAAAAAAAACCCCTCGCCTACGTGATTTGATGCACGCTCCTCTTCTTCTTTTTACAAAACGGTGACAAATGGTGAGAATCTTCCTCTTCATCGACAGCACAGTAAACGTCATTATTTTCTCTCTCTTTCTCTCACACAAACACACACTGACCCACACACACAGCCAACGCACAACTTCTCACAACCTCTGGATGTTCAAGGCAGCGGCCCAGGGGTGCAGTACAATTGAGCCAAGGTCTTGCTAAGAGAAGGACCCAGATTTCTGTAGGGGAAAAAAAAAAAAGGAAAAAAATTGAGGCAGGGGTCGTTTTAAAAAGCAAATTCCCAGGATAATTAATCCATTTATTCATTAATCCGTCCAATTCACAGGGTGCATCTCTCTTTAACAAATAGAATAACAGAGTTGGAAGGGACCTTTGGAGGTCTTCTAGTCCAACCCCCTGTTATCCAACCTCTTCTTAAAAGACTTCCAGTGTTGGAGCATTCACAAGTTGTTTCACTGAACAGGTAGTCCTTGACTTACGACCATGATGGGAGTTTATGCATCGTAAGTCGTAAGTCATGAGGGTTGCACCAAGGGGTCAGTCACCTACGCGACCCAATTTTATGACGTCGTTTCTTGCAGCGGTCGCTAAGCAAATGCGGAAGTCGTTCAGCAAACCACGGGCGTGGTTTGTTTGGCGGAAAACCTGAAGTCCCGTGATCGACATTGGGAGGCTTGGCAACTGGCGTGTACTTATGACGGATTATATGATAGCTACCTTCCCAACAAGCAACGTCAACGGAGGAAAAGTGGATTCTCTTTTAACGGCCATGTGATTCGCTTAATAACCTCAGTGAATTTGCTTAACAACCGGAGCAAAAAAAAGAAAGTTGTAAAAATCAGGCACGGCTCACTTAATATGCTCCTTGCTTAGTTCAGGGAGTCCTCGGCTTACGACAGTTCGCTTAGCGACCGTTTGAAGTCACAACGGCACTGGGAAAAAAGGGACCTACGACCGTTTTTCACACTTACGACCGTTGCGGCCTCCCTGGGGGTCACGTGATCAAAATCCAGACACTTGGCCACCGACTCATATTTATGATGATTGCAGCTTCCTGGGGTCACGTGATCCCCTTTGGCGGCCTCCTGACAGTCAGTAGGGGGAGCCAGCTTCGCTTGACGACCGTGTCCCTAACTTGACAATGGCAGTGGTTCACTTAACGACTGCGGCAAGAAAGGTCGTGAAACGGGGCCAAAAAAACTCACTTAACAAACATAAGTTTGTCACATAAGCAACATAAATTTTAGGCTCCATTGTGGTCCTAAGCAGAGATGGGATTCAGCCGGTTAGGGCGAATCAGCTGAATTGTTGAATCGGTAGTCCTGACGACTGGCTGGCCCCACCCCACTCCTCCCAGGAGTCCCCCCGGACCCATTTTGGATCCCAGGTAAATGCAGGGGGCGCGTGGAGCCTGGGGAGGTTGAAAACGGCCCGTTTTTGCTCCCAGGAGGCTGCAGGGAGGCCTACTAGGCCCAAAACGGGGGGCGGAGGGGGGAGGCACCCGCCGCAGCCCGTTTTTGCTCCCGGGGGGGTGCAGGAGGCTGAGTGTCACACCCTGGCCACGCCCACCATGGTCACGCCCACCCAGCCCATCATTAGAGCAGAGAACCAGTTGTTAATTTATTTGAATCCCACCACTGGTCGTAAGTTGAGGACTACCCATATTTAGGGGCAGGGGCTGAGGGAGCTTGTGTAAAGGAGGGGGAGCGGGAAAAGAGAGGAAAGACCGCCAGCTCTGGCCCTCACCTCTGCAGCTGGCCACACTTGACGGTACTCAGAAGATTCTCCTGGCTTTCTGAATCCGGACACTCGGCGTAAGCCCCCATCAGGCTGAGAATGAAGAAGGAACACCAGGGAAGGTCATCAGCCCCACCGTTGACATGCCAAGGGAAAAAAATCCCTCCATGTTTCATCGTACATGTGAATCTTTCACTTCACCATGAAGGATGCTGGTTTAAACCAGGTTACAGCATGGTCTGTTCCGCCAGTAACCAGCCTCTAAGACAGTGTTTCTCAACCTGGGCAGCTTGAAGATCTCTATGGTGATCTCAACATCATCATCTTTTAACGAACCCATAATCCCTTGTGGGGTGGAGTCTGGGTGACTGAATGGAGCTAGCAGAGTGTTTTACTGGCCGGATGCCCTTCCTGACACCAGAGCGGAGTTTTGTTCAGCAGATAAATTCTCAGTGTGCCCAGAGAGCTCCACCTCTAGGCCACTGCACCACTCCTAGGGTGATCTCAACATCCAGAATAAATAAAGCAATAATACAGAATGTTATTGCTAATACCATATTTTCAAATGCCTAGCTGAAGAATTCTGGGAGTTGAAGTCCATCCATCTTAAAGCATGCTGGCTGGGGGATTCTGGGAGATGAAGTCCACCCATCTTAAAGCATGCTGGCTGGGGAATTCTGGGAATTGAAGTCCACCCATTTTAAAGTTGTAAAGCTTGAAAAACATCGATCTAAGGTCACCATCATGAACTGATTTTTTTACCATCAGCCAAATTTTAACCCCGGAGAGGTGAAGAACAGAATCTGAGAAAAAAAAAATAAATAACACAGCCAAGCTATTTTCGCTGTTCCCTGCAGTGTAGGGAAAACTACAGATATTCGTTTAGTTCCCACATTATGCGAAATCCAGGTTAACAGAACTAACCACCCCCAGGCCCTCTTCCCCATCTTCATACCTAGTGGGCGTTTTGTATTTTTCCAAAATGGCAGCCGCTTTTTCTCCGCTGAGGCCGCTGACCTGCATCAGTTGCCTTGCGAAGACTTCGTACACCGTCTGTGCCGGGGAAACGGAAGCGGGAACGGGGTTTAAAAGAAGCGGGTTTGCCGATCGTGTGAACACAGCTCACAACCTGGTTCAGCGAGAGGGAATCTGTTTTTTTGGTTAAATATCTGGACTAAAAATTCACGTAGAAATCGGGAGACCCTCAATTCAAATCCTGCCTCAGGCCGGCTTCGAGCCAGCCACGCTCTCTCCGCCCTAGGAAGGAGGCAATGACAAACCAAATTTTAAAAACCCTTCCGAAGAAAACAGTGCAAGGGCTCAAGTCAGCCCATTAGACCTGACCGAACGAATGAAAACAAAATTAAAAATAAATATTAAGCACCCTGGAAAAGCTGAAAAAAATTCTGACTGGGTTTCGTTGCTCACTAGGTTTGCACTTAGTGCAAATTGGAAAAGCAAGCAGAGAATTGGGTTTTGCTATTTGCAAGTTTTGCTATTCATAGGGCCAGATTCTGACCTAACTTGTTTGTTTTGACTTGTAGATTCCTGGGCTAACAAACCACAATGCTCTGCGAGACGTGGTTTGCAAACGAATCACAGTCAGGATTTGTGGAAAGCTAGGAAATCGGCGATGTGTAATAAACTCATCCTTTTCAGACACAAAAATTCTTTAGGGCCATGATGGCGAACCTTAAGAGGTTGCAGAAAAAAAATGCTTTTAGAAGCCTCTGACGATCCCAGTTGAGCTGCGCGATCATCAGAGGCTTTTTTTATTTTACTTTTAAAAGCATTTTTTCGCCCGGAGAGGTTGTAGGAAAACATGCTTTTAAAAGTAAAAAAAACAGCCTCTGATGATCGTGCGGCTCAGCTGGGCATGGGGAAAGGCAGGGAATTTTGCTACCGGTTCTCTGAACCACCCAACACAATCGCTACCGGATCGGGCGATCCGGTCCGAACCGGGAGCATTTCACCCCTGCTCCAGAGGCTGACAACATAGAGGCAGAGGAACAGGAGGAGCCTGTTCCTAGTGCACGCATGCGAAGAGCTGCCAGAAGGCAAGAGCAGCTAAAGCAAAAAGGACGACTCGGGAGTAAGGCCAGGAGATGATTGGCCCCTCCCAGAAGGCTTAAAAGACCAGCAACAGCTCTTGGGCTCTTTGTCGGAAAACAATGTTGATAGTCTTGCTGCACTTATCTCTTGTCGGCGTCTTCTGCGTTTGAACTTTTGCCAAGAAAAGTCTTTGACAGGTTGCCTAATTAGACCAAGGTTGGTGATAAGGCGGAAGGATTGTGCTATGAAGAATTTGTTTGGAATTAGTTCGGACTACGCTGAGAATGAGTTAATTCTCAGATGTTCCAATAAAGTCTGTTTGTTTTCGAACTGGTTGCGTCTGATAATACCTACTTGGGCCTGGGTCACAACACGCGCCTCCTGCCAGCCAGCTGATTTTCGGGACGTATGTCGAGGACTATCTGGATTTTTTTCCTGTTTAATCTGGGATCTTCCACATGGAAAGCAGACATTTCCTGCTTGAGGTCCTGGATTTTCACTCAAAGGATGCAAATATTCTCACCTTATTCTTAATGGCTCCTTCGTTAAACTCAGCAAATGTCAAGAGCCTGCAGATACCCTCCTTGGGCTGCAGGGGGCGCTCGTCCTCCAGTTCTTGCTTGGTACAGCTCAAAAGCATTTTGTCCTACAGGGGAAAAACAGGAAAAAAAGTAGTAATTCTTAGAGAGAAACTCCTATCTTTAAACTCGTTTTATCCCCCACCGTTGCTCTGTGTCTTTACAAGCAGTCCTTGACTTACGGCTGGCTTACAGTCGGTCCTTGACTTACGACTTATCCCCTCCCCTCAGGGGAATTTGGGGAGTTGAAGTCCACCTGTCTTACAAGCATGCTCGTTGGCAATTCTAGGAGTTGAAAGTCTTAAAACGTGTTGGTCTTAAAGCAGCTGAGGTTGAGAAATATTGATTTATACAAAAAAAAAATTGATTCACTTCCCCTGCTTTCTATGAATTTGCATTGGTATCAAAAGCAATTGATAATTGAGAGGGGGAGAGAAGAAGATAAAATATAGTATAGAGTTAGGGTATAAGTATAAGTATAAGTATAGGGTCTCCTACTTCAGCAGGGGGTTGGACTAGAAGACCTCCAAGGTCCCTTCTGACCTATTCTATTCTATTCTATTCTATTCTATTCTATTATTCTATTCTATTCTATTCAGAATCCTATTCTATTCTTCTATTCTATTCTATTCTATTCTATTTTAGTCTATTCTATTCTATTCAGAATCTTATTCAGAATATTCTATTCTATTCAGAATCCTATTCTATTATTCTATTCTATTCTATTCAGAATCCTATTCTATTATTCCATTCTATTCTATTCAGAATCTTATTCAGAATATTCTATTCTATTCAGAATCCTATTCTATTATTCTATTCTATTCTATTCAGAATCCTATTCTATTCTATTCTATTCTATTCTATTCTATTCAGAATCCTATTCTATTCTATTCTATTCTATTCTATTCAGAATCCTACTCAGAATCCTATTCTATTCTATTCTATTCAGAATCCTATCCTATCCTATCCTATCCTATCCTATCCTATCCTATCCTATCCTATCCTATCTCCATTCTGTTAAAATGATCTCATATTTTAAAGTATTGTTTTAATCAATTTAATTTAATATAGCAAACCCTCATTTTTATTTTCCCCTCATTTTTTTTTACAAGAAATCTGTAGAAATAGGCTTGGCTGATGAGCATTGCATCTGATCCAAAACTAGGCAATTGTCCTTGACTTACAACAGTTCTATTTAGTGTCTGTTGTGAAGTTACAACGGCACTGGGAGAAAAAAAAGTGACTTAAAACTGGAAGGTTTCACACCCAAAGTTAGAAGTCTTAATGCTGAAGTAAAAAAAAAAAGAGGCTAGTCCTCATGAGGGTCGAGTCCATATTGCATCAAACTTACCCCGTACTGTCTGGTCAAATGACGGGTCATGATGGTCAGATATGCAGCAGATTCCCGAATGTCACCGGTACGTTTGACAAAGAAGCCATCGATCACCTGCGGGAAATAAAGATGATTGATGATGACATGGGCACCTCTAAGTGATGTCCCTCAAAACCTCTCCGGAGATACAATTAATGCAGCTAAAAGGAACAAGTTAAAAGAAGAAGCAATAACTGGGGCCAGATTTAGGGTCAGAATAACAGAGTCGGAAGGGACCTTGGAGGTCTTCTAGTCCAACCCCCTGCAGGAGATCCTATACCAGTGCTGGCGCACGCTGGTCAGCTGATTTTCTAGCCTTCCGGGCCGACCGGAAGTCGGGAAACTAACCGTTTCCAGCCTCTGGAATACCTCCGGTAGGGTGGGGAAGGCTGTTTTTGCCCTCCCCAGATTCCAAGAAAGCTTCTGGTGCCTGGGAAGGGCGAAAAATGGGCCTACTGGGCCCACTTTGCCATTGTGTGCCAAAAGCGGGGGGGGGGTGTTGCACTGTGCCATTGTGTGTGCGGGGGTGGGTGGGGCACATTGAATTATAGGTGTGGGCACGCGCACCCGCGACCCCCCCCACACTCCCTCTCGCTTTTGGCACGCGACAGCAAAAAGGTTAGCCATCACTGCCATTGGTTCACCGTCTGAGTGGAGCCTGAGTGGTGCAGTGGACTAAACTACTGTTAAAGTAGTATTTAGCTGCCAGCTGCCTGCAATTACTGCAAGTTCGAATCTCACCAGGCTCAAGGTTGACTCAGCCTTCCATCCTCTCGAGGTAGGTAAAATGAGGACCCGGATTGTGAGGGCAATAAGCTGACTCTGTATAAAAAAGAACACTGCTTGGGGGGGGGGGTGCGAAAGCCCTACTAAGCAAGTATACACAAAAGGATGAAGGCTATTGCTTAACGCATTGTAAGCCGCCCTGAGTCTCCGGAGAAGGGCGGCATATAAATCGAACTAATAATAACTAATAAATAAATCATGGCCTTATACCATTTCACACAAATGGCTATCCAATCTCCTCTTGAAAACTTCCAGTATTAGAGCACCCACAACTTCTGGTGGCAAGCCGTTCCACGGGTTAATTGTTCTCCCAGTGAGGAAATTTTTCCTCAGTTCTAGGTCCTTGATTAGTTTCCATCCATTGCTTCTTGTTGTTGCCTTCAGGTGCTTTGGAAAACAGGTGGATCCCGTTCTTCGCGGCAGCCCCTCAAATGTTGGAAGATGCCATCATGATGTCACTCCTGGTCCTTCTTTTTACTAGACTAGACATACCCAATTCCTGCAACCCATTCTTTATATATTTTAGCCTCCAGTCCCCTAATTGTCTTTGTTGCTTCCGGAGTTTGAGACACAAGGATTCACCTTCGCAGGTGAGCCTCACCTGAGTATTGATAATGGCTTGTTGCAGAGTCTTTTCGGGAAGACTGAGATGCTGCGCGGAATTCGCGTCTTCTACCAGGTAGATGGGGTGGGAAAGACCGCACTGCCGCAGGCGGAACTGGATTCGAGACATGACAAAGGAAGGAGGGAGGGGTGGATAGATGGTTAGGAACCCGAGATTAAATCATGAATGGAAGGCGAACAGGTAACCCTCAACCTCACCTGGAACCGGAAGATCTATTGCTAAGAGATGTTAAGAAAAGTCATCATGTGACCCTGCCTGCTTCAACGATCTTTTTTTGCCATGGTTGTTAAGCGAATCACTGCAATAAACTGAACTGACTACCATACAGATAGTCCTCGACTTACAACGGTTCGTTTAGTGTCCGTTCGAAGTTACAACGGCACTGAAAAAAGCAGGGTTCCGGATGCCCTAACTAAATCATGAGCTTCGAGCCAAGCTTCAAAAGAAATCCAGTTATTTATTAGGAGCTTCATGTCGGTACGTTCCCAAGTGAAGCCAGCTCTGACCCTATGTAATTTACGCCCCAAGTCACTCCCCTCTGCCTGCTGTAGGTAACTCTGGGAGACAGCCTTGAGAGAGATAAGCATGGAATGTGCACCTGTCTTTGGCTGCTGTGCCATTTTGCCCGTTTCCCATCCCCCCTGGCCTATGGCAACTCGAGAGCGGGCCAGGGATGCTTTGTGAGTTGGCAAGCGACTTAGGACCGTTTTTCACACTTGCACACATTTGGATGCTTGACAACTGACTCATAGTTATGACGGTTGTAGCGTCAACAGGGCAGGGTTGGCGTGATCCCTTTTTGCGACCTTCTGAAATGCAAAGTAACAACCGGGTTACTAACTTATCGACTGCAGTGATTCGCTTAACAACAGAGGCAAGAAAAGTTGTAAAAGGAGGCAAAATTCACTTAATAAGTGTCTCACTTAACAACAGAAATTTTGGGTTCAGTTGTGGTCGTTCGTCCAGGACTACCTGTACTGGAAATCTCATTTTTCGACAAAACCGAGAAAAACACATTTGGTGTGTGATGCAAATCCATGCCTTAAATGATAGCGAAGGAACTGATTTCTACGTCAAATTTTAAATTCCTTCCTGATTCTATCAAATCCAGAATTAGGAGGACGCTGTGGCTCAGGGGCTAAGACGCTGAGCTTGTCAATCGAAAGGCCGGCAGTTTGGCGGTTCGAATCCCGAGTGCCGCGTAACGGGGTGAGCTCCTGTGACTTGTCCCGGCTTCTGCCAACCTAGCAGTTCGAAAGCAGGTAAAAAATGCAAGTAGAAAAATAGGGACCCCCTTTGGTGGGAAGGGAACAGCGTTCCATGCACCTTTGGCGTTGAGTCATGCCGGCCACATGACCACGGAGACGTCTTCGGACAGCGCTGGCTCTTCGGCTTTGAAACGGAGATGAGCAGCACCCCCTAGAGTCGGGAACGACTAGCACATATGTGCGAGGGGAACCTTTTTACCTTACCTTTTGTTCCCGAAAGCGACCGTCAATGATGCTACCGCATAAATCCGGCATCCGTTTCCGTTCCACCACGTAGTCTAAAACCAGCTCACGAACCGTGGTTGGTGGCAGCTCCTCTGAAAAAAAGGGAGATTAGAACAAGATTTTATTCTTAGGGGAAGTAAGTGCGTGGCGTTCTCCATTTAGGAATAAACGTTTAGGTCCACCACCACCACCCCTTGGCCAGGAATTCTCTCACCCACCTGACACACGGGGACCCCTCTCTCTGGCCACCCAGAGGAAATCGCCGACGTGGAGCTTCCGGATGCTAAACGGGACGTGGTGACGTTGAAGTTCGCGCACCAGCTCCTGTTTACGCGACGCGGGGCCACTGAAAGCGAGAGGGGGGAAAAGGCGCTTTTCACAAACTATTTCAAAGGGGAATTACTTCTTTCCCCTCACCACCTGAAGTGGGGTCCTTGTTTCCTTGCAGACGTTTCGTGACCAATCTAGAGAACATCATCAGTAATAAAAGAGGAGGAGGGGGAGAAGGAGGAAGAGGAGGAGGAGGAATGTGGGGTCCTTGGTGGTCTCTGAGCCTGATGGTTTTCTTGCAGACGTTTCATGACCCAGCTGGGTAACATCATCAGTGCTAGAAGGGAGTTTGTGAAGTGGAGGAGGTGGAAGAGGAGGAGTCAGGGGAGGGAAAGAGAAAGAAAGAAAGAGAGAGAGAGAGAAAGAGACAGAGAGAGAGAGAGAGAAAGACAGAAAGGAAGGAAGGAAGGAAGGAAGGAAAGAAAAAAAGGAAGGAAGGAAGGAAGGAAAGAAAGAAAGGAAGGAAGGAAGGAAGGAAGGAGGGAGGGAAAGAGAGAGACAGAAAGAAAGAAACAGAAAAAAAAGGAAGGAAGGAAAGAAAGAAAGAGAGAGAGAGAGAAAGAAAGAAAAAAGGAAGGAAGGAAGGAAAGAAAGAAAGGAAGGAAGGAAGGAAAGAAAGGAAGAAAGGAAGGAAAGAAAGAGAGAAAGAGAAAGAGAGAGAAGAGAGAGAGAGAAAAAGAAAGAAAGAAAGAAAGAAAGAAAGAAAGAAAGAAAGAAAGAAAGAAAGAAAGAAAGAAAGAAAGAAAGAAAGAAAGAAAGAGGAAAAAATGTGAGGGTCCTTGGTGGTCTCTGAGCTTGGTGGCTTTTTGCAGGCGTTTCATGACCCAACTTGGTAACGTCATCAATGCTAGAAGGGTTGTGCAGGGAGGAGGAGGAGGAGGAGGAGAATGAGGAAGAATATTGGTTCTTGATGGTCTCTGAGCTCAGTTTTCTTGCAGACATTTCAGGACCCAACTAGGGAACATCATCAGTGCTAGAAGAGAGGGGAGTTTGGGAGGGGAGAGGAGGGGAGGAGGAAGAGGTAGCAATCAGATTAAGTTGAAAGAGTTGGATGGGACCTTGGAGGTCATCTAGTCCAACCCCCCACCCAAGCAGGAGACCCTACACCACTTCTAACAGATGGCTGTCCAATCTCTTCTTGAAAGCTTCCAGGAATGAAGCTCTCACAACTTTTGAAGGCATCTTCTGTTTTATGGGTTGATTGTTCTCACTGTCAGAAAATTCCTCCTCATTTCCAGGTTGAATCTCTCCATCCATTATTCCTTGTCTGGCCTGCTTTGGAAAATAGCTGGACCCCCTTCCTCCTCTCTGGGGCAGCCCCTCAAATATTGGAAGATGCTCTCCTGTCTCCCCTGGTCCTTCTCTTCCCTAGACTAGACATAACTCAGTTCCTAAAACCCCCATACGATGTGGTTTTAGCATCGCGGCTCCTTACCCTGTGGTCTCGATGAAATCCACGCAAAGAATCACCTCAAAATGTCCAGGTTGCAAAACAAACTGGGGCGTCAACAGGCCCGAGTTCGGCCCTTCGCAGCTTGATCTAGAATGACAAAAAAAACAAAAAAAACAAACAGAGATGTGATAGCTGGACCAGGTGAAATTTTAAGGAGTCCTTGTCTTATGACCGCAATAGAAATCTGCCCGCTAGGGCCATTCCGTCGTGAGGACCGTGAAATGGGTCACCGCATCGCTGACCCAATATGACAGCCTTATTTTTTGTAGTCGTTTTTAAGCTAAATCGCTACCGCGGTGAAGTGAATCTGCCGTCGTTAAGCGAACGCCACGGACGTTAAAGCGAAACCCGTGGTTTGGTTCTGGAGCAGGTTTTTTTGGCCGATAAACCGTGGGAATTTTTGGAATGGCATTTCTAACGACCGTAATATGGAAATTCTTTGCCGTGGAAATTAGGGTTCCAGTTTTAAGTCGTAAGTGGAGGATTACCTGTATTGTACTCCTCGCCTTACGACCGCAATAGAAGCCTGCCCACTAGGATCGTTCAGTCGTGACAACCATAAAATGGGTCACTGTGTCGCTGACCCAATGTTACGGCCTTTTTTTTGTAGTCATTTTTAAGCAAAATCACTACCGTGGTGAAGTGAATCCAAAGAATAAATAATCATAATCTTACTATGCTTGGCAGAATGCCCAGAAGCAATTTGCAGGAAACAGATAAGAGAACTAAGATCAAGATGCGAAGGAGAGTGAACGAAGTTGTTCCCTGCAAATTGCCTCAGTCATCGTCCTTCCTTAAATAGGTTAAGGGAGTGGCCAATTAGCCACAACATAAGCGAATGCCACGGACGTAAAGCGAACCCGTGGTTTGATTTTGGACTGGTTTTTTGTTTTTTTTTTGACCATGGAAATTTTTGGAATGGCATTTTTAACGATCGTAATATGGAAATTTTTTGCCGTGGAAATTCCGGTTCCAAGTTGTAAGTCGTAAGTGGAGGATTAACCTGTATTTGCTGGCGGAGCTGCTGTCTGAATTTTCTGAGCCCAATGAGCTTCCGTCGTTTTCCTCCAAAAGCACAATGGTTCCTCCAGTTTGGGGGGCTGTGGCTTTTGGGGGGCTGGAATTGTTTTCCTTCAGCTCTTCGGAGGCCCTCAGCTCCCGGGCTACATTTAGCCCTGCTTCGGTCAGAGAATATCTGGTGGGGAAAAGTTCGCAAGTCAAAATAGGTTTTTTGGGGGGCCAGTTCTCTTGAAATCGCTACCCTCAAACCGCCCCTGCCAATTTTAGCCTTCAGAATTTTTAAACTTTGAGTTTCTCACTTTTGAAGTGTACGTTGGGACCTTGTTCTTCATTCTGTTTTGAACTGGGCTTACAAGGTTTTTAGGTATTACGTTATGGTAAAACCACCCAGAGTCACTTAAGGAGAGTTGGGTGGCGTAGAACTTTAAGAAATAAAATTAATTAAAATTAAATCAAGGGGGAATAAACATAGGGGGAATAAATTTGCCTAAGGCAAATTTAACCCTAGATTGGGGCTTTTCTCATGATGGAATCACTGAAAAATCTTCTTGAGGGTTTAAAAAGCTCCCTCCATCGATCCATTCATCCATCCATCTTTCCATCCATCCTTCCATCCTTTATTCCATCCATCCATCCTTCCATCCATCCATCCATCCATCCTTCCTTCCTTCCATCCATCCATCTATCCATCCATCCTTCTTTCCTTCCTTCCTTCTATCCTTCCTTCTTTCTCTTTCCTTCCTTCCATCCATCCTTCCATCCATCCATCCCATCCATCCTTCCTTCCTTCCATCCATCCATCTATCCATCCATCCTTCTTTCCTTCCTTCCTTCTATCCTTCCTTCTTTCTCTTTCCTTCCTTCCATCCATCCTTCCTTCCTTCCATCCATCCATCCTACCTTCCATTCCTCCTTCCTTCCTTCCATCCATCCATCCTTCTTTCCTTCCATCCTTCCTTCCTTCTTTCCTTCCATCCATCCATCCTTCCATCCATCCATCCTTCCATCCACCCTTCTTTCCTTCCATCCATCCATCCTTCCATTATGCATCCTTCTTTCCTTCCTTTCTTCCTTCTATCCTTCCATCCTTCTTTCTTTCCTTCCATCTATCCTTCCTTCCTTCCTTTCTTTCCCTCCCTCTTTCCTTCCATCCATCCATCCATCCTCCATCCTTCCTTCCTTCCATCCTTCCTTCCTTTCTTTCCTTTCCTTCCTTCCTTCCTTCCTTCCATCCTTCCTTCCTTCCATCCATTCATCCTTTCTTCTTTCCATCCATCCATCCATTCATCCTTTCTTCTTTCCTTCTTTCCTTCCTTCCATCCATCCATCCATCCATCATTCACCTCCCCATTCTCTCTTGGACATATAAGCATAGATTGTCAACAACTGCTTTTAACTCTATTAAACCAGAACCTCTCTCCAAGTTCAAGGAGACTGATCGGCTGCAGTAGATTCTCCTCCCCTCCCAACTCTTTAGTACAACATAATCAACCTGGCTGGAATGTTGGTCTTGAGGACTAGCTCCTTGCGAATCAGAGTGCTGACAGCAGACCAGGCGGTGTTCTTACTTCCAGGATCAGCCTGCAATGGAGGAATCAGGAGGAGAATGGCTAGCCTAAATAGCAATAGAATACAATATCATACAGTAATGCTATTCCTGTCATCAATCAAGTCAGTTTGGTCTAGTGGTTAAGGCATCAGGTTAGACACTGGGAGATGGTGAGTTCTAGTTCCACCTTAGGCATGAAACCAGGATGAGTGACTTTGGGCCAATCACCAGGAGACGGTGAGTTCTAGTCCTGCCTTAAGCATGAAAGCTGTGGGTGACTTTGGGCCAATCACCAGGAGACGGTGAGTTCTAGTCCTGCCTTAAGCACGAAAACTGATTGGATGACTTTGGGCCAATCACCAGGAGACGGTGAGTTCTAGTCCTGCCTTAAGCATGAAAACTAACTGGGTGACTTTGGGACAGTCACCAGGAGATGGTGAGTTCTAGTCCTGCCTCAGGCATGAAACTAGCTGGGTGACTTTGGGCCAATCATTTGAGCCAGCCACATTCTCTCAGCCCTAGAAAGCAGGCAACGGCAAACCGAGACACCTTACCAAAAAAATTGCAGGGACTAATCCAGGCAGCCACCAGGAGACAAAAACTGACATGAAAACACACACTCACACACAAAGAATGAATCTTCAATAAATTTAATCGTTTGGTGCAATAACAAGCAGGGAGAGGATCAGCTTACCAGAAAAAAGGATTTATCGCAGAGAGGCTGTGCAGTTTTCTGCAGTTCTGGTTTGGTCAGGTAGCCCCGCGACTCAGGTTTCTAAGAAAGAAATCCCAAAAAACAAACATTCAACACACAACCTCCAGCTCCGTTTCCTTGTTTCTGCGTTCGAGTCTAAATTCGCCCCATTTCAACTTCTCAAGCTCACAGCCGGCACGCAATTATTCTCCGGTTTTCAGAAGTCTTCAAAAATGGTGCTACGCATCTCCTAACGTTCCCCCCAAATCTTCCACCACCCCAATTTTGATCATGCGATGGTGGGAATGCCGTAACGGTTGTTAACTGCGAGGACTGGTTGTTGGTCTTTTTTTTTCCAGGGCCTTTCTAACTTTCTAAATGGTCGCTAAAACAAAACGGTTGCAAGTCGAGAACTATCTCTAAGTAGAGCTAGTTTGCAACCAGCTGATGGAAGGCCGAAAATGTTTCTGCAGAGGGACGGGGTTGGCATCGGATGTATCTTACCGTGGCGTTGTGATAGAGTGCCAACAGTACTGCGTACGCTGGAGATCGCCGAGTGGCATGTAACCCCGGGCCCGATGCCGTGGAACGCTCTGCTTTTTCTGCAAATGAAAAAAATAATAATAATAATCAGGCGTGGTCTTTTTGGATAGTTGGTGGGAGTTGTTATCATTGTTATTTCTCCCAGATGTTTAGACTGTAGTTGGCACTTTCGTCCCTCTATCTATTTAGAACCAACCTAGGATTAAGGAGAAATTTCCTGACGATGAGAACATCGATCTGGAACGAGCTCCCCCCGGAGATACGGAGGATCCCGGATCTGCGCACCTTCCGTCGCGCGCTTAAGACTTTTTTATTTCACCAAGCTGGCCTGGCCTAAATCTTCTCCCCTTTTTAAAATGTAAATTTTAATTTGTTTTAAATGATGGGGTATTTTAAATTTGTTCAGCCAAATTATTTAATTCGTTTTTTATTTTATTTTAAATTTTTGCATTTATGTGTTTTTATCTTGTGGCTGTTCGGGTATAGAAATTTAACAAAATAAATATAAATAAATAAATAAATCGAATTGGCCATGCCCAAACAGTCACATGCCCACTTAGCTATGCCCATCCAGGTGGTCATTAGGCAGACCATGTTAGTGGTCCGTGGGATTTAAAATTATGAATTTAGGGGTCCCTGAGGTCCGAAAGGTTGGTGACCCCTGATCTAGTCCAACCCTTCGCCCAACTGTGATCAAGAGGTGCTCATTACAGAAGATATTATATGGATTACAAGCCTAAAGTCTTTTTAAGAGGATTTTATTTACATAAGGGAATATTTTTTAGGGGAGTGGGCAGAAGAATAAAGATATTAAGATTTATTAAGTATGGTAGTCTTGTAGGAAAGTGGGTGGAGACAGGTTAGTTTATTGATTGTTTAGTTTAAGAAAAGGGATATTATGTTTAGATATGAATATATGTAAAAGATTTGAGTTAAGAGATATAACGATGAGGGTGAAGGAAATGGGTAGACTATGAACTGAATAAATGTTAAATTAGGATTTATTATATAGTTTTATAGCGGAAGGTTGTTTTGAAATGTTAGATTAATATATATAAAAGATTTGATTTATTATTATGCTAAATTAGGAGTTATTATATAATGTTATAGTAGAATGTCATTTTGAAATGTATAGTATAAGGGGGATATGATAATTTTATTAGAAATAAAGGGTCAGTATATGGAGATGGAGTAAGGGGATGGTAAAGTATTATATAATCTGTTATGAATTTGGGTTTTATTATGAAGAAGTCACAGGGGGAGGGGAGGGGGAGGGGGGTTAGGGAGGAGGGGGAAAAAAAGGGGGGGGAATTGTATTTGAAGAGGTACTCCGATTATTTTGCATGTAAGATGCCCGTTGTCGTTATAAAATTTATTTGCCGCCCATTTCGGGGTTCGGCGACTACGAGATCTCTCCTTCCCTCTGTCCATCGCAAATTACTCGCATGCTCAAAATGTTGCAAACATTCCCCAAAACGAATGGATGAACGTAATCCATACCGACGTTCTCACCTTTGACTGTTGCTCTTGACGTTGGACTGGCTCTAGAGACGACAGGGAAGGTTGTGACGCTGGCCTATCGTCGCTGTCAGTTTGATCGTCAACATCTTCACAACTTTTGCAAGGAGACGTTGGGATTGGCCCACCTGGAATGCCTGAAAAACGGGCAAAAAAAAAAAAAAAAAGCCTCGAAACGGACCGAAAAAATTCTTTCAACTGAGCTTCTGAGCTTTGAGGTATATCATTTTTATTCAAGCTTTTTAAAAGGAAGATTAAAAATGGACACAAATTACCGTATTTTTCAGACTATAAGATGCAGCTAAATTTAGAAGAGGAAAACAATAACAAAAAGGTTTTGGCCTCCCTTTTTTGGGGCCTTTTCCAGACTTTTTTCGGCCTGTTTTCAAGGCTTTTTTGGCCCGTTTCCGAGGCTTATTTTGGCCCGTTTTCAGAGCTTTTTTGGCTGGTTTTCGGGGCTATTTTTGGCCCGTTTTCAAGACTTTTTCCAGCCTATTTTGGGGGGGGGGGAAATGGGCTGGAAAAAGTCTTGAAAACAGGCCAAAAAAAGCCCTGAAAACGGGCCGAAAAAAGCCGAAAAAATGAGCCAAAATAAGTGCAGAAAATAGGCTGGAAAAAGCTTTGAAAACGGGCCGAAAAAAGCCTCGAAAACAGGCCAAAAACGTCCAAAAAAACGGGCCAAAAAACCCCTCAGAAACAGGCCAAAAAAGCCCCGAAAACGGGCCAAAAAAAGCCTCAGGAACAGGCCAAAAAAGTCCCCAAAACAGGCCAAAAAAAGCCTCAGGAACAGGCCAAAAAAGCCCTGAAAACGGGCCAAAAAACCCCTCAGAAACAGGCCAAGAAAAGCCTCAGGAACAGGCCAAAAAAGCCCTGAAAACGGGCAAAAAAACCCCTCAGAAACAGGCCAAGAAAAGCCTCAGGAACAGGCCAAAAAAGCCCTGAAAACGGGCAAAAAAACCCCTCAGAAACAGGCCAAGAAAAGCCTCAGGAACAGGCCAAAAAAGCCCTGAAAACGGGCAAAAAAAAGCTGGCGGGTAGGCGGAGCTTTGGCAATATTTGGTCTATAAGACGCACAGACATTTTCACCCCCTTTTGGGAGACAAAAAACTGCACCTTATAGTCTGAAAAATACGGTGATTCAGGTAGTCCTCGACTTTATGACCACAATTGAGCCCAAAGGTTCTGTCGCTAAAGGAGGCATTGGTTAAGTGAGCTTTGCCGCATTTTTTCAGCCTTTCTCGCCACGGTTGTTAAGTGAATCTGGCTTCCCCATGGACTTGGCTTGTCAGAAGGCCGCAAAAGGGAATCACGTAATCCTGGGCCACTGTGACCGTCATAAATATGAGTCAGTTGCCAAGTATTTAAATTTTGATCACCTGACCATGGGGATATTGCAACGGTCGTAGGTGTGAAAACGCTCGCAAGTCCCTTTTTTCCAGTGTCGGCGTAACTTCGAACGGTCACTAAGCGAACCGTTGTAAGTCGAGGACTACCTGTACTCCTTCAAGTAATATTTCACAAGTATGTATGTATGTATGTATTTATTTATTTATTTATTTATTTATTATTCGAATTTCTATACCGCCCTTCTCCTTTCGGAGAGAATTGTAATTGATTCTTAATAAGGTTCACATTAAACTGTCACTGAGCCCAGAATTACGGACTAAGTTGTCCTCCTGGTCATTAAGTGTGTCCCCCTGTCATCCTGATTTTATAAATTGTGGGGTTTTTTTGGCAACAGTCATTAAGCGAACCGTTTTTCATAATGGGTATTTTTTTGCCAGAAAGTCAAAATTAAAGCGGACAAAATCCACCCATCGCGATCAAGCGAGGCTGCAGTCAGCCATAAAGGTTGCCGAACGCCCCGAATCAGTGGTGGGTTGCTCCCAGTTCAGTCCGGTTCTTGCGAACCAGTAGGAAAAGCAGCAGGAGGCTCCGCCCACCCGCCCGGACGTCATCATGAATGATCTGCGGATGCGCAGAAGCGCTCCCGCTGCGAACCAGTAGTAAAGGTAAGTAGAACCCACCCCTGCCCCAAATGCAATTCCGTGAACACGACAACGGGATTCTCCTGTCCGAATCTGGGTCATAAGTAGCCTGGTGTGGGGTCCTAGCGAACGGTCGCTAAGCAGCCGGTCGTAAGTTGAGAACTACCTGTAGGGGTCACAGGCCCCTCTCCTTCCATACCGGCCAGCGCTGTACCGTCCTGGCTGCTGCGGTATCTCTCCAGCTGTTCATCCAGCTGATGGCAGATCTTCTCCCCGAAATACATAAGGATCCGAGCCTCGCGGCCACTGCGCAGAGGGAGGGGGTACTTGCGGAGGGAGCTCAGGGCCTGCGCACGACAAAGAGAGAGAGAGAGACTTTTTAGATAATTGTGATCGGTTAAGGATCACTAAAATTGTTCCTGGTTAGTGCTTCGAAGCAGCTGGCTTCCTTAAACTATCAATGAGGTGGAGTGGAGTGGAGTGGAGTGGAGTGGAGTGGAGTGGAGTGGAGTGGAGTGGAGTAGAGTAGAGTAGAGTAGAGTAGAGTAGAGTAGAGTAGAGTAGAGTAGAGTAGAGTAGAGTAGAGTAGAGTAGAGTAGTTCCTTAAACTATCAATGAAGTGGAATGGAGTGGAGTACAGTAGTTCCTTAAACTATCAATGAGGTGGAATGGAACAGAATAGGGTAGAGTAGAGTAAAGTAGAGTAGAGTAGTTCCTTAAACTATCAATAAGGTGGAATGGAATAGAATAGAGTAGAGTAGAGTAAAGTAGAGTAGAGTAGTTCCTTAAACTATCAATAAGGTGGAATGGAATAGAATAGAGTAGAGTAGAGTAAAGTAGAGTAGAGTAGTTCCTTAAACTATCAATGAGGTGGAATGGAATAGAATAGAGTAGAGTAGAGTAAAGTAGAGTAGAGTAGTTCCTTAAACTATCAATAAGGTGGAATGGAATAGAATAGGGTAGAGTAGAGTAAAGTAGAGTAGAGTAGTTCCTTAAACTATCAATGAGGTGGAATGGAATAGAATAGGCTAGAGTAGAGTAAAGTAGAGTAGAGTAGTTCCTTAAACTATCAATGAGGTGGAATGGAATAGAATAGGTAGAGTAGAGTAGAGTAAAGTAGAGTAGAATAGTTCCTTAAACTATCAATAAGGTGGAATGGAATAGAATAGAGTAGAGTAGAGTAGAGTAGAGTAGTTCCTTAAACTATCAATGAGGTGGAATGGAATAGAATAGGGTAGAGTAGAGTAAAGTAGAGTAGAGTAGTTCCTTAAACTATCAATGAGGTGGAATGGAATAGAATAGAGTAGAGTAAAGTAGAGTAGAGTAGTTCCTTAAACTATCAATAAGGTGGAATGGAATAGAATAGAGTAGAGTAGAGTAGAGTAGAGTAGTTCCTTAAACTATCAATAAGGTGGAATGGAATAGAATAGAGTAGAGTAGAGTAGAGTAGAGTAGTTCCTTAAACTATCAATGAGGTGGAATGGAATAGAATAGAGTAGAGTAAAGTAGAGTAGAGTAGTTCCTTAAACTATCAATGAGGTGGAATGGAATAGAATAGAGTAGAGTAAAGTAAAGTAGAGTAGAGTAGTTCCTTAAACTATCAATAAGGTGGAATGGAATAGAATAGAGTAGAGTAGAGTAGAGTAGAGTAGTTCCTTAAACTATCAATGAGGTGGAATGGAATAGAATAGGGTAGAGTAGAGTAAAGTAGAGTAGTTCCTTAAACTATCAATGAGGTGGAATGGAATAGAATAGAGTAGAGTAGAGTAGAGTAGAGTAGTTCCTTAAACTATCAATGAGGTGGAGTGGAGTGGAGTGGAGTAGAGTAGAAGAGAGAAAAGAAGAGAAGAGAAGATAGAATAGTTGGAAGGGACCTTGGAGGTCTTCCAGTCCAACCCCGTGCTTAGGTAGTAAACCCTACACCACTTAATACATTTTTAACTTCATGATTCATAAGCAGTCGTCTATGTATCACTATTATTATATTAGCCCTGTCATTATTATGAATAACGAAGATCAACACATTATTAATTATTGGCTTAACGGTATTAATATAACCACGATGACCAATTTGCAGTACCGATCTAATTAATAGGCTAATTAAAACACAAATGGTTACGCTAGTCTCACTTACACTCCAAATTCTGCTCTTATTAAGCGAACTGTACTAATAGATATGCTAATTCCTGCATAATTGATTGCTATACTAACTACTACTGTAAAGGACCTTGTACCAAAAGCTGCGCTAATTATTGCATTTTTATTATCATTATTTATTTTCCTAATAATTATTCTAATTACTATTATATTAAGAGTTTTGCTTATATTATTCTGCAGCCTTAATAGGAAATCTGTCCCAAGAGAAGCATTCCTTGGAGGCGGGGCTTGCCGCGGTGGGAGGGGCTTGCCGCGGTGGGAGGGGCTTACGCGTTCATAGGCGCGTTGGCTCTTGAGGCGTCCGTTTTCCGCGGCCTGGTCGCGCCATTCCTCCAACCATCGCGTAAATAAAGGATTCGGGCCTTCCTGCGGCGGTTTCGGCATTTTTAGAAGGCCGCCGCCGGCTTTTTTATCCCCCGGTTTCTTTTCTTTTCGCGCTCTCGTTCTTTTAAAAACGGGAAATCATCGAGTTTTTTTTGCACCAAAGAGTTGCAGGCGGGCAGAGCGGCTGTCCGTTGAAGCAGCGGCGCAGGCGCAGTTTGTTCTCTGATTGGGCGGCGCAGGCGCAGTTCGTCCGTGGTGCCTCTTCGGAGGAAGCCATAGAGATAGAAAATATAGAGAGGTCCTTACTGAGTTCAGCAATGCTCCAAATTGCTCTTTGCAGAGAATATACTACAAAATTCAATATTTTACTGCGCATGGCCCATCTGTATATAAAGCAAACTATACAATAAAAGCATTACAAATCCCTCTTTAATTTTTCTCTCCAGTCTTACCTGGAATATTTTAAATTAGTGTTTTTCAATCTTTAGGATGTTATATAGACTTCAGTTCCTAGAATTCCCAAGCCAGCATAATCACATTACAGCAGGGCATTCTGGGAAACAGACACTTGGTAATTGTTTCAGGCTCTTCCATCAGTGTTTCTCAAACCTCTGCAACTTTTAAGATGAATGGATTTTGACTCCCAGAATTTTAGGGGTTGATTCACACTTTTAAGGCATGTTGGCTGGGGAATTCTGGGAGTTGAAGTCCTTAAAGTTGTCAAGGTTTTAAAAAAATACTAGCCTAGAGGGATGTACAATATTTATGATGGGCAACTGTTTTAAGATTTCTAGGGAATAGAATAGAATAAAATATAGAATAAATAGAATAGAATGAATAGAATAGAATAGAATTATAATAGAGAATAGAATAGAATGAATAGAATAGAATAAGGAATAGAATAGGATTAGGAATAGAATGAATGGAATGGAATAGAATACAATACAATATAGAAGTACAAAATAGACTAAATAGAACAGAATTAGAATAGAATGAATAGAATAGAATAGAATAAGGAATAGAATAGAATAAGGAATAGAATAGAAGGAATAGAATAGAATGAATAGAATAAGGAATAGAATAGGATTATGAATAGAATGAATGGAATGTAATAGAATAGAATAAGGAATAGAATAGAATAAGGAATATTATAGAACGAATAGAATAGGATTATGAATAGAATGAATGGAATAGAATACAATACAATACAGAAGCACAAAATAAAATAAATAGAATAGGATTAGAATAGAATAGAATAGAATTAGAATAGAATGTATAGAATAGAATAAGGAATAGAATAGAAAGAATAGAATAGGATTAGGAATGGTATGGAATGGAATGGAATGGAATGGAATGGAATAAGAATAGAATAGAATAGAATAGAATAGAATAGAATAGAATAGAATAGAATAGAATAGAATAGAATTTATTGGCCAAGTGTGATTGGACACACAAGGAATAAGTCTTACCTAATCTGGTACCGAAACGGTCAGAAACTAAACAATCTTAGAGAGCAAAACACTGCCAAAATCTAAAACCCGACCTACAAGTATTTTTCTATTATTTCAAATGCCAATACCTCTGCGTTGAATATTGCCCATTGTATTTTCAAAATACTGGTGCCTATGTGCACAGTTAGCCATATTCTGGACCAGCAGTAACTGTTTGATGGAATCAGCAGTCTTTTTGGGGGGGCGGGAGGGGGGCTTGGTCTCCGGCTAAGCCTCTTACCCTGGTTAAAAGCATAGATGTTTGTTCCTCTTCATAATATTTATTTTATTTAATAATAATAGTAAATCTATTTAGACCTTGCTTTTCAGCAGAGGTCTCTTTTTTCCCCCCTCCCTGCTAAGAAGATCCTTTTCACTGAAGAAACCACAAAATAAGAAATTATTATTCCAAGCGTTTTCACCGGAATAAATCTTATCTGCTTCTCCACGGACTTTCCGGCTTTCGCGCTACAGATTAGTTATTCTTTAACCAGCTTTTTAAACTAGTTCTACTGCTATTTACCGAATACAGCATGTTAAACTCAACCGGCCTTTGATCTGATTTAGTGTCTTAAGCTCTACCAATTTGTACTTTGGGAGAAAAAAGCTGGCATTTAAAGCCAGCCTGGATTATTAACCATTCAGAAAACTAATCCCCCAGTTTAATGGCCCGAGGAAAGGAGGGGCACCCCAGTTTTTTTTTCCCCCTTCCAGCAATTATGCTTTTAACTCTTTCATAGCCATGCCCAACGTTAGTAAAATTTCCCCATATTTGGCCTTCTTGCCCTGTTCGATTTTAATCTGCCTTGTTTTGTTTTCATCACCTTGGGCAGTGACTAAAAGTTTAAAAGTTTGGTTGGAGGGCGTTGCCAGAAATCACATTTATCACGGTCTCTTGGCATGGGATGTTTGCTTCCATACAGGGCAAGGGTGAAATCCAGCAGGTTCTGACAGGTTCTGGAGAACCGGTAGCGGAAGATTTGAGTAGTTCAGCGAACCGGCGAATACCACCTCTGGCTGGCCCCAGAGTCGGGTGGGCATGGGGATTTTGCAATATCCTTCCCCCAGGAGTGGGGTGGGCATGGGGATTTTGCAGTATCCTTCCCCCAGGAGTGGGGTGGGAATGGGGATTTTGCAGTATCCTTCCCCTGGAGTGGGGTGGGAATGGGGATTTTGCAGCATCTTTTCCCTGAAGTCAGGAGGGAATGGAGATTTTGCAGTATCCTTCCCTACGACAATTGAGCCTATTTCTGTTGCTAAGAGAGATGTTTATTCAAGTGGGTTTTGCCCCATTCTACGACTTTTCTTGCCACAGTGGTTACGTCAATCAATCACTGCAGTTGTTAAATAAGTTACGTGGTTGTTAAGTGGAATCAGGTTTCCCTATTGACTTTGCTTGTCAGGTCGCAAGAGGGGAATCATCGCATGACCAGCGGGACACTGCCACCGTCGTAAATACGAGCCAGAGAGCTATCGTCGTCCTCGATGTTCAACTGAGCCTCAAATTCCCGCCGTTAAGCAAGAAAGTTACGAAGCGTCCCATATGACTACTTTTCTTGCCAGCGTTGTTCACTGAATCCCTCCAGTTATTTAAGTCAGTGACACGGTTGTTAAGTGAATCCAGCTTCCCCATTGACTCTGCTTCTCAGAAGGTCACAAAAGGAAACCATACGACACCCCCCCCCCGGGGACACCGCAACCGTCATAAATACGAGTCAGTTGCCAAGCAGCTGAATTTTGATGCTGCAAAAAATGGCATAAAAATGGCCATAAATTCATCCGCTTTCATCTCTCTATTTTTTTTTTGTTTGTTTCTTTATCAAATTTATTTGCCGCCCATCAGGTGACTCTGAGCTCTGTTCAAGGCTCTCCATTCAAAGTAGACCCACCGTCTCTTGAGGCAGGCAGTTCCACCGGCCAACAGCTCTACCAGCTCTACCCCTGAAGCAGTTGTCCTGGACGTCTCACTCAAAATCACCTTCCTTGTAATTGAAACTGGTTTCTTCTCCTGGTTTCTGGAACAGGCCTGAACAAATCCGCCCCGTCTTTGACACGGCCGCCCTTCAGACAGTTACGGACAGCTGTCATTCTCCCTGCAGCTTTCTCTTCTCCTGGGAAATCTGCCCAGTGACTCCGTCTATTTCTCATTTAATGATATTACGGTAGGCGAACATGATTTCCCGTCAAGAATGCTTTCCCCGTCGAGGTGGCCAAAATTCACAACCTTTGCACTTTGTTTGCCCCGAATCTGATCTCTGGGGGGTGGTAAAAAATGCACATTTCTGTCTTTTAAAAAAATCTTTATTTTTTAAAAAAAAATCAGAATCAATGATTATTAGCATTATTAGCATGTTGGGATGGTGGTTTTTAAATGCCGCCCGTTTCCCTTTCAGGGTTTGGAGTTTTATCAGCCTGGGCGGTCCCACGTGGCCTGTGGTTGGTGGATCAGAATAATATGAGTTGGAAGGGGCCTTGGAGGTCTTCTAGTCCAACCCGCTGCTCAATCTCTTCTCAGAACCCCGTCCCCACCCCAGCCCTGCGTCATGGGGGATGTAAAGGTAATCTTTTGCAAGGCAGTTGTTAAATAAGTTGTGCTCCGTTTTACAACCTTTTGTGCCTCAGTTCCCAGCAGTTGTTAAGTGAATCAGGCGGTCGTTAAAGCAGTTGACCTCCACCCATTTTAAAGCACGGCTAGGGAATTCTGGGAGTCAAAGTCTACCCATCTTCAAGTGTACCTACTGGAGAATTCTGGGATTTGAGGTCCTGCCCTCTTAAAATTGCCATTCCTCCAGCTATCCCTCCCTCCACTCATCTCTCCCTCCCTTCCTCTGTATCTCCATTCCTTCATCTTTCTCTCCATCCATCCATTTCTCCTTCCGTCCCTCCCTCCACCTCATCATCTCTCCTTCCCTCCTTTTCTCCTCCCTCCCTCCCTCTCTCCATCCATCCATTCCCCTCTGCATCCCTCCCTCCCTCCATTCACCCATCCAATCTCTCCAACCCTCCATCCCTCTCCCTCCCTTCCTCCTTCCATCCTTTTCTCGATCCTTTTCTCTCTCCATCCATCCCTCCTCTCTCCATCCATCCCTCCTTCCTTCCATCCATTTCTCTCTCCATCCTCCCTCCCTGCCTCCCTCTCTCCCTCCATTCACCCATCCAAACTCTCCATCCCTCCATCCCTCCCTCCCTCCCTCCTTTTCTCAATCCATTTCTCTCTCCATCCCTCCCTCCCTCTCCATCCATCCATTCCTCTCTGCGTCCCTCCCTCCCTCCATCTCTCCCTCCCTCCTTCCATCTCTCTCCATCCCTCCTTCCTTCCTCTCTCCATCCATCCATTCCTCTCTCCCTCTCCCCATCCACCCATCCAATCTCTCCCTCCCTCCATATCTCCATTCCTTCATCTTTCTCTCCATCCATCCCTCTCTCCATCCATCCATTTCTCCTTCCCTCCATCCCTCTGTCCATCCATCCATCCATCTCTCCCTCCGTCCCTCCCTCCACTTCACCATCTCTCCCTCCCTCCTTTTCTCCCTCCCTCCCTCTCTCCATCCATCCATCCATCCCTCCTTCCTTCCATCCATTTCTCTCTCCATCCATCCCTCCCTGCCTCCCTCCATTCACCCATCCAAACTCTCCATCCCTCCATCCCTCTCCCTCCCTCCCTCCTTTTCTCAATCCATTTCCCTCTCCATCCATCCATTCCTCTCTCCGTCCCTCCCTCC